GACTTTTAATTTACCTTTTTTTTCTCTTTTACTTTTAATTGTATTATTTAGATTTTTAATTTATTTTATTTTGAATAAATAAATATCTGTGCAGTTTATAAATTAAAAAAACGGAAATATCACATTTACATAAGTATTCAGACCCTTTACTCAGTACTTTGTTGAAGCACCTTTGGCAGCGATTACAGCCTCGAGTCTTCTTGGGTATGACGCTACAAGCTTGGCACACCTGTATTTGGGTAGTTTCTCCCATTCTTCTCTGCAGATCCTCTCAAGCTCTGTCAGGTTGGATGGGGAGCGTCGCTGCACAGCTATTTTCAGGTCTCTCCAGAGATGTTCGATCGGGTTCAAGTTCGGGCTCTGGCTGGGCCACTCAAGGACATTCAGAGACTTGTCCCGAAGCCACTCCTGAGTTGTCTTGGATATGTGCTTAGGGTCGTTCTCCTGTTGGAAGGTGAACCTTCGCCCCAGTCTGAGGTCCTGAGCGCTCTGGAGCAGGTTTTCATCAAGGATCTCTGTACTTTGCTTCGTTCACCTTTCCCTCGATCCTGACTAGTCTCCCAGTCCCTGCCGCTGAAAAACATCCCCACAGCATGATGCTGCCACCACCATGCTTCACCGTAGGGATGGTGCCAGGTTTCCCCCAGACGTGACGCTTGGCATTCAGGCTAAAGAGTTCAATCTTGGTTTCATCAGACCAGAGAATCTTGTTCCTCATGGTCTGAGAGTCCTTTAGGTGCCTTTTAGCAAACTCCAAGCGGGCTGTCATGTGCCTTTTACTGAGGAGTGGCTTCCGTCTGGCTACTCTACCATAAAGGCCTGATTGGTGGAGAGCTGTAGAGATGTTTGTGTTTCTGGAAGGTTCCTCCATCTCCACAGAGGAACTCTACAGCTCTGTCAGAGTGACCATCGGGTTCTTGGTCACCTCCCTGAACAAGGCCCTTCTCCTCTGATTGCTCAGTTTGGCCGGGCGGCCAGCTCTAGAAAGAGTCTTGGTGGTTCCAAACTTCTTCCATTTAAGAATGATGGAGGCCACTGTGTTCTTGGGGACCTTCAATGCTGCAGAAATGTTTGGGTACCCTTCACCAGATCAGTGCCTCGACACAATCCTGTCTCGGAACTCTACGGACAATTCAACCTCATGGCTTGGTTTTTGCTCTGACATGCACTGTCAACTGTGGGACCTTATATAGACAGGTGTGTGCCTTTCCAAATCATGTCCAATCAATTTCATTTACCACAGGTGGACTCCAATCAAGTTGTAGAAACAGCTCAAGGATGATCAATGGAAACAGGATGCACCTGAGCTCAATTTCGAGTCTCATAGCAAAGGGGCTGAATACTTATGTAAATAAGGTATTTCTGTTTTTAATTTGTAATACATTTGCTAACATTTCTAAAAAACTGTTTTCGCTTTGTCATTATGGGGTATTGTGTGTAGATTGATGAGGGAAAAAAAACATTTTATCCATTTTAGAATAAGGCTGTAGGGTAACAAAATGTGGAAAAAGTCAAGGGGTCTGAATACTTTCCGAATGCACTGTATATATCTACATATGTGTGTGTATATATATATATATATATATATATATATATATATATATATATACAGTGGGGAAAAAAAGTATTTAGTCAGCCACCAATTGTGCAAGTTCTCCCACTTAAAAAGATGAGAGGGGCCTGTAATTTTCATCATAGGTACACGTCAACTATGACAGACAAAATGAGAAAAAAAATCCAGAAAATCACATTGTAGGATTAATAATGAATTTATTTGCAAATTATGGTGGAAAATAAGTATTTGGTCAATAACAAAAGTTTCTCAATACTTTGTTATATACCCTTTGTTGGCAATGACACAGGTCAAACGTTTTCTGTAACTCTTCACAAGGTTTTCACACACTGTTGCTGGTATTTTGGCCCATTCTTTCATGCAGATCTCCTCTAGAGCAGTGATGTTTTGGGGCTGTCGCTGGGCAACACGGACTTTCAACTCCCTCCAAAGATTTTCTATGGGGTTGAGATCTGGAGACTGGCTAGGCCACTCCAGGACCTTGAAATGCTTCTTATGAAGCCACTCCTTCGTTGCCCGGGCGGTGTATTTGGGATCATTGTCATGCTGAAAGACCCAGCCACGTTTCATCTTCAATGCCCTTGCTGATGGAAGGAGGTTTTCACTCAAAATCTCACAAAACATGGCCCCATTCATTCTTTCCTTTACACGGATCAGTCGTCCTGGTCCCTTTGCAGAAAAACAGCCCCAAAGCATGATGTTTCCACCCCCATGCTTCACAGTAGGTATGGTGTTCTTTGGATGGAACTCAGCATTCTTTGTCCTCCAAACACGACGAGTTGAGTTTTTTTAACCAAAAAGTTATATTTTGGTTTCATCTGACCATATGACATTCTCCCAATCCTCTTCTGGATCATCCAAATGCACTCTAGCAAACTTCAGACGGGCCTGGACATGTACTGGCTTAAGCAGGGGACACGTCTCCCACTACAGGATTTGAGTCCCTGGCGGCGTAGTGTGTTACTGATGGTAGGCTTTGTTACTTTTGGTCCCAGCTCTCTGCCGGTCATTCACTAGGTCCCCCGTGTGGTTCTGGGATTTTGCTCACCGTTCTTGTGATCATTTTGACCCCAAGGGGTGAGATCTTGCGTGGAGCCCCAGATCGAGGGAGATTATCAGTGGTCTTGTATGTCTTCCATTTCCTAATAATTGCTCCCACAGTTAATTTATTCAAACCAAGCTGCTTACCTATTGCAGATTCAGTCTTCCCAGCCTGGTGCAGGTCTACAATTCTGTTTCTGGTGTCCTTTGACAGCTCTTTGGTCTTGGCCATAGTGGAGTTTGGAGTGTGACTGTTTGAGGTTGTGGACAGGTGTCTTTTATACTGATAACAAGTTCAAACAGGCGCCATTAATACAGGTAACGAGTGGAGGACAGAGGAGCCTCTTAAAGAAGAAGTTACAGGTCTGTGAGAGCCAGAAATCTTGCTTGTTTGTAGGTGACCAAATACTTATTTTCCACCATAATTTGCAAATAAATTCATTAAAAATCCTACAATGTGATTTTCTGGAATTTCTTTTCTCATTTTGTCTGTCATAGTTGACGTGTACCTATGATGAAAATTACAGGCCTTTCTCATCTTTTTAAGTGGGAGAACTTGCACAATTGGTGGCTGACTAAATACTTTTTTTCCCCACTGTATATATATATATATATGTATGCGATGATATGTATAGACATTATGGACAGTATGTGGATAGAATATTGAGTATCTGTAGGATAGAATAGTATATATAGAGCAATAGTTTAATAGGATGGCCTTGACTAGAATAGAGTATATACATATGAAATGAGTAAAACAGTATGTAAACATTATTCAAGTGACCAGTGTTCCATTATTAAAGTGACCAGTGTTCCATGTCTATGTACATAGGGCAGCAGTCTCTAAGGTACATGGTAGAGTAACCGGCTGGTAATTGGCTAGTGACAGTGACTAAGTTACAGGGCAGGGTACTGGGTGGAGGCCGGCTAGTGATGGCTATTTAACAGTCTGATGGCCTTGAGATAGGTGTTTTTCAGTCTCTCTGTCCCAGCTTTGATGCACCTGTACTGACCTCGCCTTCTGGATGATAGTAGGGTGAACAGGCCGTGGCTCTGGTGGTTGATGTGCTTGATGATCTTTTTGGCTTTCCTGTGACATCAGGTGCTGTAGATGTCCTGGGCATTTTTAGTACTTGCAACATTCTAATTGATTAGTTTTATGTTTTAAGAAATAAAATGATTGTAGAGGGCTGTTGTAGGCCATAGTTTAAGTGTTTGTAGGGCATAATGGAGAGAGAAAATAAATGTTTGTGTATAATTCAATGACTCTGTGGCCAATAGTAGGCCTATAGATCTAAGGTTAAGAAATGTACAGTTGGCACACCTGTTATAAGCCTACTCATTTTAGTAGCCTAGCGGTTAGCGCATTGGGCCAGTAACTGAAAGGTCACTGGTTCGAATATCCGAGCCAACAAGGTGAAACATCTATTGCTGTGCCCTTGAGCAAGGCACTTAACCCTAATTTACTCCAGGGGTGCCATACTGCTATGGGTGACCCTGTAAAACAACACATTTCACTACACCTATCCAGTGTGTTTGACAATAAAAAAAAAAAAAATAACATCTTCTTAGTGGTGATTAGTTACCAGTTTGGTGGAAACAAGATTTAAATGATTGTCTATTGAATGTACAGGAGAGAGAGAGAGAGCTATGATAGGGGCTCACGGGGGCTCAATCCATATCCTATTGCAGTGGTGAGCACCTAATAACACAGTCCTCTGTGTAGAGGTATATGTCCATATTGCAGTAGGCATAAATTACATTATTTCCCCTCTTTAAAGAAGGGTTGTATGTCCTCTCACTCAAAGCCCCACATGCTTACAAGGCCCTGAGAGAGCACCACAATGATCCCACTGCTGCCACCAGTGTAGCCTAACGGGGAGAGAGAGAAATGTATGGGGGGGCTCAATCTATTGATCTTGCACTACATACCAAGCCTAATGGATGTGGGTAGTACAACGATCACATACGCCATGTCGAAGTAATCTGTCAATTGACATATATATTTTCAAGGAGAAAAGGGCTGAGAAAAAAAATGATGAAACAAGTTCCCTATTCAGCAGTGGTCAGACCCTCCTTCCCTCCATTTCATTCGCAGAGTCGGTATTAATGTATTTGCCAAAGGTTTGACGTCATGTACATCGGTGTCCGCACATGGATTGTGAACCATCTTGAGCTTCACATCCAGCTAGTTCTCCTGCCTTCTGTAACTAGCGACGTTCGACGAAAACCTTAACCGTTCTTTTCTGCGCGGATATCAATTTCTCGGTCTCAACTCCAGGTTGGGTCAAGCGTTGAGGTTTGGTGTTTGTTTAACATATTTTCAAACTTGGGTCTTCTTTTGGAATTACAGCAATTGTAGGCTATACTATCGTCCTCCAGACCAATGGAGAAAATGGCCAGACCGGTTCCTTTAAACTCATCTTTTCAACCTCCAACTAATGGCGTACTGAAATCCCTGTTGGAGAATCCAATGAAGCTGCCGTTTCATCATGAAGAAGGTAAACAAAACGCAGACATCAAAACATTTGTTGCGCGGTAGTTTACTGTCTTTTTTGAGACGATTTTTTGGTCCGTCTCGCTTTCAATCTTGATCTGTCAGTGTTGTAGCGCGTGAGCAAGCGAGATACAATGCAGAAAAAACAACGTCTCCGCTGGCTACAATATTTCAGTAGCCCGGTGTTTTCCACCTTTTTTTTTTTATATAGCGGTTACTAAGAATTGGTGTTTAATCAAGTGTAAATTAAAGGGGAAATCTGGAGTTGCTACATCCATTTTTGGACTTATAAATTAAAATGTAACCATTGATTCTTGAAGAATATAGCTTATAAATGTGCTCATGAGCTTAGTTCAACTGTCATACCCCATCAGAACCTAAAATATAAGTTTGTTTTACTCCAACGTTTGTAAACAAAGAAAAGGTAAACAAACACAATATAGCCTCAAAGCATGGTTAAAACAACAATTTTGATATCATGGATGGTCAGTCCTTGTATCCATAACTCTGTCTATGAATTTGAGAGTGGTTACATTTCTCTAGCCCCATCCCTCAGCTTTTTACCGAACCAGGGTCGGGATTCGCTTTGTTATTGTTTGTACTGCTGATTGCCGCTTTAAGTCTAATGTATTATTACTACTACATCTAGCCAGTTCTGGAAGGAGTATGATACATCATGGTTGCAATTTGTGTAGTTAAATGTCAAAATACATTCCTGGTCTGACAGCTCCAGCCTTATAAGGATACAGTGTAGCAGCTATCGCTTTAATTAACGTGACTTGCGACAGAAAACGTCCCACTGTAAATGTTTGTCATACAGTACTTATTATTATTTAGAATGCTATTTTTCGTACACCGTTTAAGCTAGAAACGTAATTCAAACTTTTAAGAAGTGCAGAGTGGTCAGGACCAGTGTGCTTGTGTACAACTTTTTGATATTTTTTACACTTTATAAACTATTAAGCTTTTTGCCCTTCTTTTTGTCCTCCATCCACTTTAAAGGGATTTCCTTTAAAGGGATTTAAACATTCTAAAGGTCCCATTGTGACATCATTACATCCAACATTCTATGCACTGTGAACAATGAAATCAGCTACTTTGACACTTTCCCAACAAGTTAGACAAAAAGTTAGTGCATATGGAATCTTCCTCTACTTCTCTGCTATTGAAATCTGAAATCGTAACAAAAATATATTCTAACGATAAAACCGTACAGCTGTTTTAGTAACCGCATCAACTGCATTTTCTGTCAATTTTTTAAACAGCTGACATTTTGCCCACTTTCCCAGCACTTTAGACAAAAACTTAGGGGGTATGACTTCTTGGTCTACTTCTCTGCTATTCAAATTAGTGTTTCACTGTATACCGAAACTTCAGTACTTTCTGTAGCCCAATGAAATCAGCCAAAACAAGGTCAATAACTCATGCGCACACTCCTACTGAATATGCATTCACCTGTATTGTAAATAGGCCTAGGCTACATCTTGATTTACCCAGTTTATCAATAGACTAGAGATTTACCATTCAGAAAAATGATGACCATTATGTTGTTATGTAGTTAGATTGGTAAAAAAAAAATAAAAAAAAATTTGATTGTTTAATTGATGAATGCATACATTCAAACATTTCAAATGTAATGATAATGAACTCAAAAGATCCATCTGGATCAAGTACCATTCTGTGACTTTGGCTAATACGCCTTCTTTTTTTCCATTGGTATCATTTTGGTATCGAGTATTGTGATACTAAACCTGGTATCGAAGTCAAAACTCTGGTGTCGTGACAACACATTCAAATCTGAAATCAGAACAGAATGATTTTCTGTTGATCAAAAGTGACAGCTGTTTTAGTAATGGTATCAACTGCATTCATTAAGCTAACTTCCCACTGTTGAATTGTCATATAACTTTCAGAAATGTCAAATTATAGCACTGGGTGAGCACATTTCTAGCATGAGACAATGAGTAAACATTTAGACTTTTGACACAAATCACCTACTTTGACCACTTTCCCCCAAAACTTAGAGGATATGCCATCTTGGTCTACTTCTCTGCTATTCAAATCAGAACATAAATATCTTCTACCAATCAAACAACTTTTAAAAACAACTGGAATTTTGACCACTTTCCCAACAACTTAGACAAAAATCTGAACACTACTACAAAAATACTTTTAAAGAGCTAAAGCAAGTCCCACAATTTTACTTCATGTAAAATTACCATGTACTACTGTTGGAAGTTTGCAATCTACTGTAAATACACCATAGTTAGTATTCCGAAGAGTAGCCAGTCTAGATACATTTAGATTGACGTATTTGTCAACAACTTGATAGGAATATATAGATAGCCTAATGCTTTTGCTATTGAAGTTGATGGGGTGTTTACTGTAGTTTGGTTATGTATCTATTTGCATAAAGTATATAAACATTCAAATACACCTCAAGTAGACCTACAGTGGCTTGCGAAAGTATTCACCCCCCTTGGCATTTTTCCTATTTTGTTGCTTTACAACCTGGAATTAAAATGGATTTTTTTGAGGTTTGTATCATTTGATTTACACAACATGCCTACCACTTAGAAGATGCAAAATATGTTTTATTGTGAAACAAACAAGAAATAAGACAAAAAACAGAACTTGAGCGTGCATATCTATTCACCCCCCCCCCAAAGTCAATACTTTGTAGAGCCACCTTTTTGCAGCAATTACAGCTGCAAGTCTCTTGGGGTATGTCTCTATAAGCTTGGCACATCTAGCCACTGGGATATTTGCCCATTCTTCAAGGCAAAACTGCTCCAGTTCCTTCAAGTTGGATGGGTTCCGCTGGTGTACAGCAATCTTTTAAGTCATACCACAGATTCTCAATTGGATTGAGGGCTAAGACATTTAAATGTTTCCCCTTACACCACTCGAGTGTTGCTTTAGCAGTATGCTTAGGGTCATTGTCCTGCTGGAAGGTGAACCTCCGTCCCAGTCTTAAATCTCTGGAAAACTGAAACAGGTTTCCCTCAAGAATTTCCCTGTATTTAGCGCCATCCATCATTCCTTCAATTCTGACCAGTTTCCCAGTCCCTGCCGATGAAAAACATCCCCACAGCATGATGCTGCCACCACCATGCTTTTTGGTGTTCTCTGGGTGATGAGAGGTGTTGGGTTTGCGCCAGACATTTTCCTTGATGGCCAAAAAGCTCAATTTTAGTCTCATGTGACCAGAGTACCTTCTTCCATATGTTTGGGGAGTCTCCCACATGCCTTTCGGTGAACACCAAACGTGTTTGCTTATTTTTTTCTTTAAGCAATGGCTTCTTTCTGGCCACTCTTCCGTAAAGCCCAGCTCTGTGGAGTGTACGGCTTAAAGTGGTCCTATGGACAGATACTCCAATCTCCACTGTGGAGCTTTGCAGCTCCTTCAGGGTTATCTTTTGTCTCTTTGTTGCCTCTCTGATTAATGCCCTCCTTGCCTGGTCCGCGAGTTTTGGTGGACAGCCCTCTCTTGGCAGTTTTGTTGTGGTGCCATATTCTTTCCATTTTTGAATAATGGATTTAATGGTGCTCCGTGGGATGTTCAAAGTTTCAGATATTTTTTTATAACCCAACCCTGAGCTGTACTTCTCCAAAACCTTGTCCCTGACCTGTTTGGAGAGCTCCTTGGTCTTCATGGTGCCGCTTGCTTGGTGGTGCCGCTTGCTTAGTGGTGTTGCAGACTCTGGGGCCTTTCAGAACAGGTGTGTGTATATATATATACTGAGATCATGTGACACTTACATTGCACACAGGTGGACTTTATTTAACTAATTATGTGACTTCTGAAGGTAATTGGTTGCACCAGATCTTATTTAGGGGTTTCATAGCAAAGGGGGTGAATAAATATGCACGCAGTTATTTTTTTTCATTTCACTTCACCAATTTGGACTATTTTGTGTATGTCCATTACATGAAATCCAAATAAAAATCCATTTAAATTAATGCAACAAAATAGGAAAAACGCCAAGGGGGATTTATACTTGTGCAAGGCACTTAATCAACAATCAGGGGCTGTAGATATTGTGTATATATACATTTAAAACCTTGGCCTTTTATTGGCTTAGCCATTTTGACATTGAAAAGGCATTGTTTGGCTGTTTTGGTCTAACAGTGATACATTATGACTCTCTCCAAATATTTGCAGGTTTGGGAAAAGAGAAGAAGGAGAAAGATAAAAAGTTGGATGATGAAGGCGGGGCCAATACTCCACAGTCGGCCTTCCTGGGGCCAACCCTGTGGGACAAGACCTTGCCATATGATGGGGACAACTTTCAGCTGGAGTACATGGACCTGGAAGAGTTTCTGTCAGAGAATGGCATCCCTGCAAACTCAGCTCAGAATAACCAAAACCAGCCACAGCAGCCCCGGCAGCCCACTATCCAGCAGGTTCCCCCTGCACCCCCCACACCCTCTGTGGTCGACCTCAGCAGCCACACCACTACCGCCGTTCATACAGCCTTGGTCTCCCAGAACTGTATCCAGAGCCCCCCAGCCAGAGCAGGTAAAAGACCATATCACACACACACACACACAACACAGCACACAGCGCAGGAACACTTTCAAACGAGGGCAAACATCTGCAACGTCAACCAAACATACACACACACAACCCTCCTATAGCTCTCAAATTAGGGCAAATCTCCATGATCAAAACCTTAGCTGTAGGAGAAGAGCTTTCTAATAATATGCGCCAGGTGCTGTTTGTTCACCTGCTGTACTCGACGTAGCTTATCAGCACGCACATCATGACCAGGTTGTCTTCTCAACACTGAACTTTCGCATTTACTGTAGATCCCGTTCCACTCTGACCAAAAGCACAGATATAGGTTTCTCAGTATTTAGGCTACTTCAGGGGCTTTGAGTATGCTAGGACATTTCTTCTACAATTCTGGCCCTGGACTTTGGAGCTTGAGTGGCATTGTGCCAAGTACTTGTGTGGGTGATAGTTTTGATCCCACAACTGTGTCGTTTTTGTCATCAAATGTCAACAAACATTAACATTTACAGTTTTACTACATACCCAATGAAATTCCTATATTGATTGAGATTAGGCTCATTTTGTTGTTTGGCACGCGATGCTCTGTTATGCTTTGTTTGCCTAAGGTGAATCCTGACGCATCTGCCCTGACCGGATCTGTTGCTGCCTACTGGAGACACAACCAGAAAGAAACATTCCTCCTTAATGAAACACATTCCTGGAGTCCAGTGATTTTAGAGGCGTGAGGAAAACTTGCCTTATTTACAGGCATCACCAAGGAAAACATCTTCCATAAAGCTAGTTGTCATGGTTTCAGCCTCTTGAAAGTGGGGGTGTGAATAAGAGTGTCAGTGTAATTGGTGTGTTTGTTGGAGCAGGCAGGTGTGATCTGGTTTGTGTTAGCCAATTCTTTGTTGCTAAACAATGGACATCCTATCTGAATCTTCTAGTCGAGGGGAAAATAGTGGTTCTATTGGCTGTAATTGTTTTTTTAATGATGAGGATGGTAGTTGTCTTTATAACCCACATTTTTTTAATCAAGTATACGTAAATAAGGTATTATCACATCATTTATAAGTATGTTATTTATATGTTTAAAGGGAATTGGTTAGTGTTCTATAGTAACTTTAGTAGGTATTTTGGTTGGTATGTGATATCTTGTCATTACCATAGTTGGTAGAGCACAGTGTGTCAAATACAATGCTTATAATCACATACACACTGTATGGAAACCTGCCTTTTACAATGTTCCAGTGTATAACATAATCTCATGTTTACTATGTCTCTGCTTGGTGTGAGCTATATTATTTGTCCCATACTTGTTGAGGGTTTATGGATATGAGTTAAGACACCATTATCAGTAAACATCCTCAGATTGAATAGAAGTTGAACACTCACACGAAACACGTTCTGCTGCATTTTATTCCAATAGACCTATGTACAGTACCAGTCAAAGGTTTGAACACACCTACTCATTCAAGGGTTTTTCTTTATTTTTACTAGTTTCTACATTGTAGAATAATAGTGAAGACATCAAAACTATGAAATAACACATATGGAATCATGTAGTAACCAAAAAAGTGTTAAACCCTTTGCCTTGACAGCTTTGCACACTCTTGGCATTCTCTCAACCAGCTTCACCTGGAATGCTTTTCCAACAGTCTTGAAGGAGTTCCCACATATGCTGAGCACTTGTTGGCTGCTTTTCCTTCACTGTCCGACTCATCCCAAACCATCTCAATTTGTTTGAGATCTGGGGATTGTGGAGGCCAGGTCATCTGATGCAGCACTCCATCACTCTCCTTCTTGGTAAAATAGCCCTTACACAGCCTGGAGGTGTGTTGGGTCGTTGTCCTGTTGAAAAACAAATGATAGTCCCACTAAGCCCAAACCAGATGGGATGGCGTATCGCTGCAGAATGCTGTGGTAGCCATGCTGGTTAAGTGTGCTTTGAATTCTAAATAAATCACAGACAGTGTTACCAGCAAAGCACCCCCACACCATAACACCTCCTCCTCCATGCTTTACGATGGGAACTACACACGCAGAGATCATCCATTCACCCACACCGTGTCTCACAAAGACACGGCGGTTGGAACCAAAAATCTCACATTTGGACTCCAGACCAAAGGACACATTTCCACCGGTCTAATGTCCATTGCTCGTGTTTCTTGGCCCAAGCAGGTCTCTTCTTCTTATTGGTGTCCTTTAGTAGTGGTTTCTTTGCAGCAATTCGACCATGAAGGCCTGATTTACACAGTCTCTTCTGAACAGTTCATGTTGAGATGTGTCTGTGACTTGAACTCTGTGAAGCATTTATTTGGGCTGCAATTTCTGAGGCTGGTAACTCTAATGAACTTATCCTCTGCAGCAGAGGTAACTCTAGGTCTTCCATTCCTGTGGCGGTCCTCATGAGAGCCAGTTTCATCATAGCGCTTGATGGTTTTTGCGACTGCACAATTCTTGAAATGTTCCGTATTGACTGACCTTCATGTCTTAAAGTAATGATGAACTGTCGTTTCTCTTTGCTTATTTGAGCTGTTCTTGCCATAATATGGACTTGGCCTTTTACCAAATAGGGCTATCTTCTGTATACCACTCCTACCTTGTCACAACACAACTGATTGGCTCAAACGCATTAAGAAGGAAAGAAATTCCACAAATTAACTTTTAAGAAGGCACACCTGTTAATTGAAATTCATTCCAGGTGACTACCTCATGAAGCTGGTTGAGAGAATGCCAAGAGTGTGCAAAGCTGTCATCATGGCAAAGGGTGGCTACTGTGAAGAATCTCAAATATAAAATATATTTTGATTTTGTTGAATGCTTTTTTGGTTACTACATGATCCCATATGTGTTATTTCATAGTTTTGATGTCTTCACTATTATTCTACAATGTAGAAAATAGTAAAAAATTAAGAAAAACCCTTGAATGAGTAGGTGTGTCCAAACTTTTGACTGGTAGTGTATGTCCAAAGGTTTTTCATCTTAGTCATTAATGATCTACCAAGTCCCAATGTGAACAGTGATGGTGGTCTAGTGAAACTGGCCTGTGTAGTAGACTTGAATTCATATGAATTACCACTTAAATGGTAGTGCTGGGAATTGCCAGGGCTCTCACAATACGATATTATCGCGACACTTAAGTGCCAATACGATATTTATTGCGATTCTATATGTATCACGCTTCTATATGTATTGCGATTTGATACTGCGATTTTGTTTATTCAATGTTCCAAACATATTGCTCACTATGTCTGCTGCAGAGGGACGAGAGAGCCGAAAAGCGAGTTTTGATCAGTCATGGAAATAAAAGTGTTGAAAACATGTTGGCTCACCATTTTAATAGAAGATTGAGGCCAAGCTATAGAAGGAGAAATACCAACGTTTTGGCACAGGTACAGCCGACTAGCGCCAGCTAACGTCAACTACCTAGCAAAAAATGTTTGTTGTTGTTGAGAATCGATACTTGGAGTCATAGAATCAATATAATATTGTCGTAAATAATATTACGATACTCTACTGTATAAATCCCCCCCCCCCCTTACATGGTAAGGAAGAGGTGGAATATTTCTTCCCTTGACTTAAAATTGACATTTTGGATCCCACACATATAAATCTTCTGAAATATGACTCTGATCCACCCAGCATGCTTTACTGTGATTTGCAATCACATTTGAAGGAATTGTAAATGCCCTACATTTACATTACATTTTAGTCATTTAGCAGACGCTCTTATCCAGACATATTTTTTTTCTTTTTCACATAACTTCTTTTGATGTATGGCATTCTGTTTGACACATTTAATATGATTTAACTTGTCCCTTGAAAGTAGTCGCAGACAGAAGTGTAATAGTTTGTTTCTAATGATGAAATGATGACTCATGCCAAATATAGCCATATGCATGTCCTTGGTCAGTGTGCAGTGAACAGTATTTATTTCCCCACTGCTTTCACAAAGTAAACAAGAAAGACAAAAAGCTGGGAACAAACCTTGACGTGGTACTGTAAACAGTTTTTGGCCTCACCACAGGTAGTAATAGTACATCTGGACACAAGTCCATCACTCATGTCAAAGAAGTACATCTGTACAGTTACAGTACAAAGAATCCCAGCATGTGAGGGTGTATGTGTACGTGCGTGTATATTTGTCTCAGTGCGAGAGAGTGTGTGTGTTTTGTCTGGTACAGTTTCACAGGGCCTGTCCTCGCCCCATTATGCACGTGAGTACGGCTAGGTCTTCCTGACAGACACATTCATCTGCCATGTGTCGCCCCACTGCTAACGGGAGTTTGTCATGGCATGAGCATCTCCTCCCTCCTCCCTTTTAATTCTCCCTCACCAGACAGATCCCAGTCGGAGCCATAGCAGAGGCACAGGCTGAACCCTGGTGAGATCACATGGCCAAGGCTATACTGCTATAACATACGCCTCCAGCCTAGCCCGCCCCACAAACCTCCCAATTCCATATTGCATCCAAGCACAATGCAGCCTGAGATAGCTTTGTTATCACAGCAGATATCCAGTGGAGTTAGCGATGGGCTGGTCCCACTGCTGGTTCAATAAGGGGCCTATGGTGTGTTGTTGGCAGGGGCCACAAGGGAAGTGGAACGTAGACAAGGTCAAAGGTCAGGTCTAAACTTGTGTGCCATGGAAGTGACTGTCTGATAAAGGTGTGTGGTACCTATGGAAACAGATTGAGGGGGAGGTGTGGTTAGTTCTCCTGTTGACTCCATGTTGTTTAGCATCACATTCATATACAGTAAAAACTTAATACCATAATATGAATCCCCCTAGCTCACACTTAATTTTGAAGATTGGTTGGAAAAGGCACAGCCTCGATGTTGTCATTCCTTAGGGGTCGAGCTTAAAATGTTAATGAAAATCAAACCAGTTTAAAGAGGGTTTGAGTTTCTTTCCTGACTGTCCAGCGGTCAGAGGAAGAACAGGCAGGTCAGAGTCAGGTCAGAGCCAACTTAGCCCTCCGTCCCATATGCACTGGTTCTACCACCCACCCACACAATGCAAATCTGAGCATTGACCTACAAGAGAAGGAACAAGACGCAGAGCTCTTACCGTCTATCTATGTTTGGTGGACGTTGAACACACGTTGTCAGACGGGTGTGTGTTGTCTCTTCCTATCAGAGATTTGTAGATGAGAGGTCACAACCAAATACTATAGGCCACTATCAGCCAGGCTTTTCACCAGGCCACTCTTAGCCAGTAAAGCATGTCACTGTATTTTTACTCCAGTAATCTGGTCAGAATTAATGGTTAAAGTGATAAGACAGGCTGTTTCCAGAGGGAAAGTTTGGGCCACCATGCTTGTTATGTATACAGGTGATCTACTTTTGACAGATTGTTTTGGACAGCGTCTGATTTAGCCCTTGTAAGTAGCTTGGCGCTAAGCTGACAGTGTGAGTCAGTGGCCTGTTGTTGTTGGGGACTAACATGCACCCTTGGATGCAGCCGCCGTGTTCTTGACAATTCACTGAAGTGAGGCATTGAATTGAATCCCTGCTGAAGTACCACTTTGGATGGCCAGCCATTTTAGCTTAATGTGTCAGTGACTACTGATGCAGTGATTCACTGGTGACGCTAGAGTGTAGTTGTCACACTTGCTTGTCTACATTTTAGTAATTTAGCAGACGCTCTTATCCAGAGTGACTTATAGTAGTGAGTGCATACATATTCATACTTTATTTTCTCCATATTGGTCCACCATGGGAATCAAACCAACAACCCTGGCGTTGCAAGTGCCATGCTCTACCAACTGAGCCACACCGGACCTCTAGTGTGGGTAGGGCCAGGACTAATAGCACTCTGCTGATGTGTCTTGGGCTGATCTGATGACTGGGTTGTTGTAGGTTGAATAGCCAGGAGAGTTACGGTGGACATAGTAAATCTGGATTCTATGGTTAACTGTAGTATCAAGGAAGGTCAGAAGGAGATTGGTGCCTTGGCTAATGGCTAGGCTTGGGCTCTCTTCTGAAACGGCCGGAGTAACTGTCTTACTTCCTTCCGCATAACATTGAGTAGTACAAGCAGGTCAGACCTGTATGTTGGCCTCCTCTTAAATCTCAACCAGGACTGGCTGGAGCCAGAAATGCTGCTGTAACTAAAGGTCAGAAGGCTTAAGGCCATAGCCAGCTTAAAGCACAGAAAAACTGGGTCATGACGTAGGAAGTGACCTAAAATGTTCGGCCTTTGAATTTTGTTTGAGTGAAATGTTTTCACCATCAGCAGGGAGAATTTGTATTTCTTTCATTCCTCATTACATTTTCACACCAACTACAAAAGACTACAGTCATTTGATTGGGAATTGTTGTAATTGTCAAGCTGTTTAAATGGACGAATCTCAAGTAAATACACTGACATCTGTCTCTATTAGCTTACTGTCATAAGATGCTCACCGCTAGCCACCAATCAAATTACAGCTGTTTTGATGAAGCCATCCAATTAAGTGCTTCATTTCAGCATGCTAATCCACTGAATAATGAAGGGCAGAATGTGAAACGGTGTCAACTGCTGACCTGCTGCTCTGTGCAATAGAAATCTATTAGGTGTTACGTAACATCCACAGAGCGATTGCAGAGGCACATGTCGAGGCTGGCTGATGAGGAGGTTGCCTTAAGTCAATTTACAGACAAAATGTAGTTGTCTGCCTGAGCTCAGCTGACTAGAGGCACTGATAACAGGGCCCCAGAAAAGCTTAAATAACATATCTTCTGTGTTTGTGAGAGTGTGTCTGTCTGTCGGTCTGTCTATCTGTGTGTGTCTGTGTTCTCTGTGCACCACCTGCTGGTTAAAATGTGCAACCACCGTTGTTTTGCTTCCCTGTGGGTGTAGCCAGTTGTAGAATTTTTTAGATTAAATAGTAATTGACATGATGAGCATGTATAGAATAAGACGGACATAAGAATATAGTCCATCTTCACATGCAAGGCTGGTATTGATTCTAGAGCAGGGATGTCAAACAAATGTTTCCCCGGGGGGCGCATACGGTCTTCAACGAGGTCCGGAGGGCCGCACAAAATGTGTTATATTTCCTTGCGTCAAGATTTGCAACAAATAGTCCTCTATCCATAGTTTTTCTGAATATTTTATGCTCCCTGACTGTCTAGCTTTCATTTCATTTTTTACTTAAACCACCCATGGGCCACATTGGACCGGGCCGTATGTTTGACACCCCTGTTCTAGAGGATCACCTTGGTAAAGCACAACCATGTTAACAAAGAGAATGGCAGAATACTATGATGTAAACAGGCACACGTGAGTTAGTTTCCCCCTAAGTGGCCTCCTAAGCAATACAAATAGTCCGGGTGGCCATTTGATTAGATGTTCAGGAATCTTATGGCTTGGGGGTAGAAGCTGTTTAGAAGCCTCTTGGACCTAGACTTGGCGCTCCGGTACCGCTTGCCGTGCGGTAGCAGAGAGAACAGTCTATGACTAGGGTGGCTGGAGTCTTTGACAATTTTTAGGGCCTTCCTCTGACACCGCCTGGATGGCAGGAAGCTTGGCCGCAGTGATGTACTGGGCCGTACGCACTACTCTCCGTAGTGCCTTGCGGTTGGAGGCAGAGCAGTTGCCATACCAGGCAGTGATGCAACCAGTCAGGATGCTCTAGATGGTGCAGCTGTAGAACCTTTTGAGGATCTGAGGACCAATGCCAAATCTTTTCAGTCTCCTTAGGGGGAATAGGTTTTGTCGTGCCCTCTTCACGACTGTCTTGGTGTGCTTGAACCATCTTAGTTTGTTGGTGATGTGGACACCAAGGAACTTGACGCTCTCAACCTGCTCCACTACAGCCCCGTCGATGAGAATGGGGGCGTGCTCGGTCCTCTTCTTTTTCCTGTAGTCCACAATCATCTCCTTTGTCTTGATCACGTTGAGGGAGGGGTTGTTGTCCTGGCACCACACGGCCAGATGTCTGACCTCCTCCCTATAGGCTGTCTCGTCGTTGTCGGTGATCAGGCCTACCACTGTTGTGTCATCGGCAAACTTAATGATGGTGTTGGAGTCATGCCTGGCCATGCAATCATGAGTGAACAGGGAGTACAGGAGGGGACTTAGCACGCACCCCTGAGGGGCCCCCGTGTTGAGGATCAGCGTGGCGGATGTGTTGTTACCTACCCGTAACACCTGGGGGCGGCCCGTCAGGAAGTCCAGGATCCAGTTGCAGAGGGAGGTGTTAAGTCCCAGGGTCCTTAGCTTAGTGATGAGCTTTGAGGGCACTATGGTGTTGAACGCTGAGCTGTAGTCAATGAATAGCATTCTCACATAGGTGTTCCTTTTGTCCAGGTGTGAAAGGGCAGTGTGTAGCGCAATAGAGATTGCATCATCTGTGGATCTGTTGGGGATGTATGCAAATTGGAGTGGGTCTAGGGTTTCTGGGATAATGGTGTTGATCTAAGCCATGACCAGCCTTTCAAAGCACTTCATGGCTACAGATGTGAGTGCTACGGGTCGGTAGTCATTTAGGCAGGTTACCTTAGTGTTCTTGGGCACAGGGACTATGGTGGTCTGCTTGAAACAACATGTTGGTATTACAGACTCAGACAGGGAGAGGTTGAAAATGTCAGTGAAGACACTTGCCAGTTGGTCAGCGCATGCTCGCAGTACACATCCTGGTAATCCGTCTGGCCTTGCGGCCTTGTGAATGTTGACCTGTTTAAAGGTCTTACTCACATCGGCTACGGAGAGCGTGATCACACAGTCGTCCGGAACAGCTGATGCTCTCATGCATGTTTCAGTGTTACTTGCCTCGACGCGAGCATAGAAGTAATTTAGCTCGTCTGGTAGGCTCGTGTCACTGGGTAGCTCGCGGCTGTGCTTCCCTTTGTAGTCTGTCATAGTTTGCAAGCCCTGCCACATCCGACGGAGCCGGTGTAGTACGATTCGATCTTAGTCCTGTATTGACGCTTTTCCTGTTTGATGGTTCGGCAGAGGGCATAGCAGGATTTCTTATAAGCTTCTGGGTTAGAGACCCGCACCTTGAAAGCGGCAGCTTTACCCTTTAGCTCAGTGCGGATGTTGCCTGTAATCCATGGCTTCTGGTTGGGGTATGTACGTACAGTCACTGTGGGGACAACGTCATCAATGCACTTATTGATGAAGCCAGTGACTGATGTGGTGTACTCCTCAATGCCATCGGAAGAATCACGGAACATATTCCAGTCTGTGCTAGCAAAACAGTCCCGTAGCTTAGCATCTGCTTCATCTGACCACTTTTTTATTGACCGAGTCACTGGTGCTTCCAGCTTTAGTTTTTGCTTGTAAGCAGGAATCAGGAGGATAGAATCATGGTCAGATTTGCCAAATGGAGGGCGAGGGAGAGCTTTGTACGTGTGTCTGTGTGTGGAGTAAAGGTGGTCTAGAGTTTTTTTCCCTCTGGTTGCATGTTTAACATGCTGGTAGAAATAAGGTAAAACAGATTTAAGTTTCCCTGCATTAAAGTCCCCGGCCACTAGGAGCGCCGCCTCTGGATGAGCGTTTTCCTGTTTGCTTATAGCCGTATACAGTTCATTGACTGCGGTCTTAGTGCCAGCATCGGTTTGTGGTGGTAAATAGACAGCTACGAAGAATATACATGTAAACTCTCTTGGTAGATAGTGTGGTCTACAGCTTATCATGAGATACTCTACCTCAGGCGAGCAAAACCTTGAGACTTCCTTAGATATCGTGCACCAGCTTTTGTTTACAAATATACATAGACCGCCACCCCTTGTCTTACCAGAGGCTGCTGTTCTATCCTGCCGATACAGTGTATAACCCGCCATCTGTATGTTATTCATGTCTTCGTTCAGCCACGACTCGGTTAAACATAAGATATTACAGTTTTTAATGTCCCGTTGGTAGGATATACGTGCCTTTAGTTCGTCCACTTCATTATCAAGCGATTGTAAGTTGGTCAATAGTATCGATGGCAAAAGCAGATTAGCCACTCGTCGCCGGCTCCTTACCAGGCACCCCGATCTCCTTCCGCGATATCTACTTTTCTTTCTACTGCGAATGACGGGGATGAGGGCCCTGTCGGGTGTCTGGAGCAAATCCCTCTCGTCCGACTCATTAAATAAAAATTATTTGTCCAGTTCAAGGTGAGTAATCGCTGTTCTGATGTCCAGAAGCTCTTTTCGGTCATAAGAGACGGTAGCAGCAACATTATGTACAAAAAGTTACAAACAATACGAAAAAACACACAAAATAGCACGGTTGGTTAAAATTCCATAAAACGGCAGCCATCCGCTCCGGCGCCTTCTAACTTGTTTTCCTTTGCCTTTCTCCTGCAGTGCTGCCCTCAGCTGCCAGGAACACCCCCAGCCCCATCGATCCAGAGTCCATTCAAGTTCCAGTGGGCTACGAGCCCGACCCTGCAGACCTGGCCCTGTCCAGCGTGCCCGGACAGGAGATGTTTGACCCCCGAAAACGCAAGTTCGCCCCAGAGGAGCTCAAACCACAGCCCATGATCAAAAAGGCACGCAAGGTCTTCATCCCTGAAGATCTCAAGGTAACCTACCTGGAACCTACTTATGTGGACGGTTCAAAGTCTTCGCCACTTGTTTGGCCAAAGACTTTAAGCACCATGTTTTCTTATGTTATGTAAGCAGTAAGTGGACTTATTCCACCTAAATAACCAGAAGTATTTTAAACCACAGTATAAGGAGGAGCGTTGGCACAAACCCAAAACCGGCAGCATTTTCAGGGAGGATAGTGAGGAGGCGAACTTGGCCAGGATTTAGATTGACAGGTTTAGCCCTGGTCATTCACCCTTAACCCGGGTCATATGATGTCGTCGTTCATCAGTTGTGGGAAGATGTGTATCACGTACTATTTTGTTTGTTGAGGTAAGATGGCTTCCTGCAGGGTGTAAAGGATATTGAATGTGTCAGGCAGTTTTAAACAACATTATGGAAATGTAATGAGTGAAAATGATGACAGATAAAACAATAGGCCACATTTGGAATACTGTTTATTACTCAGGTGAATCACACATATTTTTACGATACCACAGGTAGTGTGAAAAAATTGGAATCACAGCAGTGTGATTCACCTCCCTTTCCAGGATGACAAGTACTGGGCCAGACGCAGAAAGAACAACGTAGCAGCCAAGAGGTCACGGGATGCCAGGCGACTGAAGGAGAACCAAATTGCCATCCGGGCTGGCTTCCTGGAGAAGGAGAACAGTGCGCTTCGCTCAGAGGTGGCCGACTTGAGGAAGGAGCTGGGCCGCACCAAGAACATTGTGGCCAAATACGAGGCTCGGCACGGGCCCCTGTGAACCTCCCCAAACCAACATCCCTGGAAACATCCACGCCACCCCTCGCTCTCACACCGTCACCCAAGAGTTTGAAGGACAATGTGCCTCCCTTTTGGTGGCACTGCCCCCCCCACACACCACCCCCTCACCCCTGTACATTGTAATCCTATATGATTCTATAATTTGGAATTTGAATTCTGTCACTGGCATCTGTTTGTTTGTTCATTCTGTCTTCTCAGTGTACATGGGTTATGAGTATGTATGTACAGTGGGGAAAAAAAGTATTTAGTCAGCCACCAATTGTGCAAGTTCTCCCACTTAAAAAGATGAGAGGCCTGTAATTTTCATCATAGGTACACGTCAACTATGACAGACAAATTGAGAATTGTGTAGGATTTTTAATGAATTTATTTGCAAATTATGGTGGAAAATAAGTATTTGGTCACCTACAAACAAGCAAGATTTCTGGCTCTCACAGACCTGTAACTTCTTCTTTAAGAGGCTCCTCTGTCCTCCACTCGTTACCTGTATTAATGGCACCTGTTTGAACTTGTTATCAGTATAAAAGACACCTGTCCACAACCTCAAACAGTCACACTCCAAACTCCACTATGGCCAAGACCAAAGAGCTGTCAAAGGACACCAGAAACAAAATTGTAGACCTGCACCAGGCTGGGAAGACTGAATCTGCAATAGGTAAGCAGCTTGGTTTGAAGAAATCAACTGTGGGAGCAATTATTAGGAAATGGAAGACATACAAGACCACTGATAATCTCCCTCGATCTGGGGCTCCACGTAAGATCTCACCCCGTGGGGTCAAAATGATCACAAGAACGGTGAGCAAAAATCCCAGAACCACACGGGGGGACCTAGTGAATGACCTGCAGAGAGCTGGGACCAAAGTAACAAAGCCTACCATCAGTAACACACTACGCCGCCAGGGACTCAAATCCTGCAGTGCGAGACGTGTCCCCCTGCTTAAGCCAGTACATGTCCAGGCCCGTCTGAAGTTTGCTAGAGTGCATTTGGATGATCCAGAAGAGGATTGGGAGAATGTCATATGGTCAGATGAAACCAAAATAGAACTTTTTGGTAAAAACTCAACTCGTCGTGTTTGGAGGACAAAGAATGCTGAGTTGCATCCAAAGAACACCATACCTACTGTGAAGCATGGGGGTGGAAACATCATGCTTTGGGGCTGTTTTTCTGCAAAGGGACCAGGACGACTGATCCGTGTAAAGGAAAGAATGAATGGGGCCATGTATCGTGAGATTTTGAGTGAAAACCTCCTTCCATCAGCAAGGGCATTGAAGATGAAACGTGGCTGGGTCTTTCAGCATGACAATGATCCCAAACACACCGCCCGGGCAACGAAGGAGTGGCTTCGTAAGAAGCATTTCAAGGTCCTGGAGTGGCCTAGCCAGTCTCCAGATCTCAACCCCATAGAAAATCTTTGGAGGGAGTTGAAAGTCCGTGTTGCCCAGCGACAGCCCCAAAACATCACTGCTCTAGAGGAGATCTGCATGGAGGAATGGGCCAAAATACCAGCAACAGTGTGTGAAAGCCTTGTGAAGACTTACAGAAAACGTTTGACCTGTGTCATTGCCAACAAAGGGTATATAACAAAGTATTGAGAAACTTTTGTTGTTGACCAAATACTTATTTTCCACCATAAGTTGCAAATAAATTCATTAAAAATCCTACAATGTGATTTTCTGGATTTTTTTTTCTCATTTTGTCTGTCATAGTTGACGTGTACCTATGATGAAAATTACAGGCCTCTCATCTTTTTAAGTGGCAGGAACTTGCACAATTGGTGGCTGACTAAATACTTTTTTCCCCCACTGTATACACACACACACACTTTCCTCTTTCAAGTACTTTGAGTGTTAATAAGCCAACAACCTACTCTCCAGATCTCTACCCTGTCCCCTACTTCCATTGTTCATTTTGGAAATGATGCCATGTTTGTTTTTCCTCTTTCTTACCTGTTTTATACGTATGATCAGGACTGAGAACTGTTGTAATGTTTCTCCCCATCCTTATGTTCTTCTAGTGCTGTTTTCTGAGGGAGTTTCCTCCTACCTAAAACCCTGTTCCTGTCTGTTGTTATGTCCTGGTTAGTCTGGATTATTTTTCTGGCTAGTACCTTCCTGTAGCATCCTTTCTCAAACGGAGGCATACAGGATGTTTTCCGCCGGTTTGTACTGCGCGTACATTCATGTTGCTATTTTTATATGTTTATGTTATTGTACTTCAGTTAATATTATATGTTTTCGTCTCCATTTTTCTCCTTTTGCAGCGCTATAACATCGGTTCATCACATCAGGACTATAAGCTACTCTTGTGATTCATATTTTTCTTGTTTTGTTTATTAGCACTTAACCTCTCTCAAACCTCGGTATAACTGTACAGTTGAAAAGAAAAACTAGCAATTATTTTCTATCAGACATTGAGCAATAATCCTTTCCAAATCTATATTAATTCATGCTACCAAGTTTTTCCTCCCACACCGATTCCCCAATCAGAGCACCTCTTGGTCTCCAGTAGAACCCACAACCCTCTTGTCTCTTGTTGCACGCCATGGTCATTTTCTGTTGGGAGTTGCGCTAGCTAGCATGGTGATGGTGAACAGATTTCCCTTCCCGTGCTCAATGGTCTCTGCTGCAGCCTGTTCCACACAACTCAGCTAACCCCCTCTACACTAATCTAACGCGTGTCTCACAATCTGACCTGGTGCAATGTTCCTCAGTCTAATCTGCCTGATATTTATGTACAGATGAATTTTTTGAAATATTCAATTGTTAATTATTATTATGACTTCTATTTGTGTCGTTGATATTATTATTATCATCTCATTGTTTTATTTGAATATTTCTCAGAACACAAACCTCAAGCTAATCGCAAATCAGTTTGTAAAAGTGGTTTAATTATTTCATTTTTTTAGCATGTTTAACAAGAGTGGTTATTTTAAGAATGAATACAGATATCTGTATTTTTGTAGCTATGTGTTTGCCTTCTTCTGTAAGATGGCTGTATGAATGTAAAAGTTGGATGGTGTTGTCCAATACTGTGGTTCTCCCAAACAATTAGTTTACTACAAACCAAAAGATTCAGTACAGAGATGATATATTGGTTATAAGAGATGTTTATATAAAGCTATTCTATATGGGTTTTTTTTTGTACAGTATTTTTCCTATACATTACTGGCTATGTATTTTAAAGGCACAGAATCCAGAATAATATTATTATTATTATTATTAAAGAATACAAATATATTACTCAAAGAAAACCAATATAGTAGTGTTTTGATATCTTAACTATAATAATTTGGTAGTTTTACAGAGATTCATCCAAATCCAGCAGCAGTAACGGATACTTTTGGGCATTATTGTGAAGACACTGGTTATATACTATAGATTTAGCCGTTAGTAACCTTTAGTTCCTTGTGTCATGGAATCGTAGTGCTTTAATCTCGAGTCTCACCAACGTTAACATGAAATAAAGTTGTGAGTACGGAAGATGGAATGTATGGAATGATCTTTAATCGGTTTCTGTGGAGACCCACTATTGGGAAGGAGATGCCAACACTTGCTTGCTATTGATTGTCCTCGATGTCACTACTAGGTGTCTCAAGAAGACTCCTGTTATGGGTCCCTTCACTCAGATGACCAAAATATGTCACCGGAGTTCCTTTTGATGGTAAAACTGAAAAGGTTTACCTTCAGTCATATTCTGGTATAAACTAAGATTACTAATATTCGGAGCCATGCATATGTTCACTAGTTAGAAGGAAGTTACAATGGAGGAGGGTAATTTCAGGTTACTGTAGCTGCTGATTGTTAGACTTTTGCAGTTCTAGTAAGCCCCACTACCTGAGTGATATTACTCTCAATGACACTGCATAGCTTACTGAAATCTCTCTAATTCTGGTATAATACTTTATTAAATATCACAATTGACCAAATACAGTGTAGTGTTCCTTACCTGTTGCAGATCATGGTCCAGCCAAGGTGAGAGTAGAGATGATATGAAGTTTTCACTGTAGAGAAATGGCTGAAGGAGGTGGTTTCCCTTATTCACATTTCTATAGCTCATCCATACAGATATCGGTTTTGTTAGTTGTGTGTGAGTGTCCATGTACTTTAACATGCTATTCTGTACCATGGACGTACCATATGAAAGAATAGGATAAAGCCATTACCAAGTCCACATATTGCCCACATACCTCCCTGTAGAGTGACTTCCCTACCTCACCCATGAATAGAAAAAAGTTACCATAATTCTGAGTCTATTCCAGTGCCTTGAATACACTGACTGTTCCTCAGTCTCTCAGCAATGTAATGTCATTATCACCACTTGGATAGGTTCAGATCTAATGCAGCAAATATTCTATATATATATATATATATATATTTACAATTATTTCGTTTTACTTATTTAAAACACTGCAATGAACTAATTACCATTGTATTAATGGCAACACCAATGGATTGTTTCACAGAGGGTACAATAATACAAAATAAAAGGAGTTTTCTGTCTTATATGTCATGGAATGAATGCATAACATATGCTATTCAGTCCTTGGCCTCCCTTTCTTTCTGTAATTTGTAGTGTCTAATAAAGTATTTTCAGTTTCTTTTGATGAGTGTCACACTTGTTATTTCTGCTAGTGTCAAACATTTTCAAACTGTTTACTATATACACTGAGTCTATATAGTACTTAAGCAATAAGGCCCGAGGAGGTGTTGTGTCATGCCTAAGAACAGCCCTTAGCCATGGTATATTGGCCATATACCACAAACCCCAGAGGTGCCTTATTGCTATTATAAACTGGTTACCAACGTAATTAGAGCAGTAAATAGTACTTTTTTTGTCATTCCCATGGCTTTCAGCCAATCAGCATTCAGGGCTCGAACCACCCGGTTTATAAAAAAACATTAACACCTGCTCTTTCCATGACATAGACTGACCAGGTGAATCCAGGTGAAAGCTATGATCCCTTATTGATGTCACTTTTTAAATCCACTTCAATCAGTGTAGCTGAAGGGGAGGAGACAGGTTAAAGAAGGATTTTTAAGCCTCGAGACAATTGAGACATGGATTGTGTATGTGTGCCGTTCAGAGGGTGAATGGGCAAGACAAAATATTTAAGTGCCTTTGAACGGGGTATGGTAGTAGTGCCATGCGCAACGGTTTTTGTCAAGAACTGTTTTTGTCAAGCTGGGTTTTTCACGCTCAACAGTTTGCCGTGTGTCTCTAGAATGGTCCACCACCCAAAGGACATCCAACCAACTTGACGCAACTGTGGGAAGCTTTGGAGTCAACATGGGCCAACATCCCTGTGGAACGCATTCGACACCTTGTAGAGTCCATGCCCCAACGAATTGAGGCTGTTCTGAGGTCAAAAGGGTGCAACTCAATATTAGGAAGGTGTTCCTAATGTTTAGTATACTCAGTGTACATTTAGGAAAGTAATGTCACATAACTAGTATTTCTAAGGAGTAAAATAACATTTACAGGTGGCTGGGTTAAGGTCAGTTGGGGTATGTTCAGGACATGGTACTAAATGAATGAAACTGCTGGTATAAACATTCAGTGTGACGTTTGTGTTTTCCTCATCCACCTGCCAGTTTGATTGATCAAAAAGCTCCCAGGCCCAGCAGCTGTCTCAAGCATCAAGGTCAGTGATTGGAAGGTCTCTTGCTGGGACTCTGGCTACCATTCTGTCCATGGAGGAAATGAGCAAAGGGGAAATGCAACTCCTTTAATGAAGGTTTGGTTTCCTACACAGAACAATGGAGAAATGTGTTTTCTGTCTGTCTGAACTACAGTGACAAGCACCCAGAGGTCAGCTATAGTTTGAACCTATAAATCTAGTACACATTTACAAGAAAGGGACAAACTGAGAAGAAGGTAACGATGTTGAGGGCATTTATTTTTTATCAACACATTAGTGGCCTATTTCTTACAGAGTGAAAATTGTTTTCTATATGTACAGCACCAAAACACCCAATGGATAAAGTAGAGAGTTAACAAGAAGCAGATGTTTTCCCTACAAAGGCCAGTACGGGATCATGTGCCAAAACAGAATATACAAATATTACAAAACATTGTGGTAAAGGGAGCAAGACATTTCAGAAAATCTACAATCCTTAACAAAATCATCTGATTTCTCCACTTAGCATAGCTAACAAGATGTCAGGGAGGGGAAACAAAGGCATGCTCACCAAGGGCTGTACAGTGTTTTACACAAGGAACATGTGTGAACACTTGTTCCAAAAACTGTCTCTGGCAATTTGAGAAACAAGTGAGAATTCATTTGAGACACAAAGCTAAAAATGGATAAATCTACCAACCATTAAAAATCATTATAGGGTTGGTTGTACATGATGAGTTTCTCAATCAATTCAACCTCAGAGTATAATGGTACTGGTCTTCATAGTTTCTCAACTGAAATGGCAAATACTCCTCAAAAGAAAGGTAGGGAATGCAGTACCATTGAAGATCCGAAAACACATAACAGGTGAAAATGAATACAAAGAACAGAAGGGTAATTTAGGATGTGAGGAGAGTTTTTAATCAGGAAGTGTGTGATATACTGGAACTATCTACTGTACCATAAGTGTGGCAGCAGTGATAGTCTGTGCAGAAGTACTGTACATCTCAGATGTACTGTAGATACTGTATCTTTCTGGAAGTTCAGTCCAATCACAGAGACCCTTTTTTAAAGGCTATAACAACTCAAATACTCAGCTTCTGAGCGCTCCATATTTGTGAGAAAGGATACAATTCCACAAATCAGAGTACTTATTAAACAGCATATCCAATGGTTCTTTGTGGTTCTTATCATACAAAAGTGCTTCAGAAAAATAAGTCTTCACTTAGATACTGATTCAGACATTTTGTGTCCAATGTGTACAGTGCACATTTACCTCTGAGTGAAAAGCCCAATTCAATTGAATGTCCTTCCCAACTGCTTTTCAATCAATAAGATGACTGACAGAATCACTACAATTGACAGATGATACTAAGTATGGAATGTGGCCGACTTTCACTTGATACAAAACACTGAGATCAATTCGGCCCAATGTATCATTACGTGCAGAAGATGAGAACAATTGCCAAATGGAAGTCAAAAGTTGATCATTTTAGTTGTTTGGGGGTTCCAACTGAACAACAGTTGTACAAAAGCAGAATTACAAGTAGCCTTTGTTCAAGGTTTGTACAGTCAAAGATAAACCGAAAAAACTGTTCCCCACCCGAAAACAGTAAACAATGCATGGTCGTTTTCGTAAACGTTCCGGCTGTGGTTGCAGCCTCGGTGGGCAGTTGTGGGAGTCTATGTGCTGGTGCCTCTGTCGAGAGGCACAGGAGGGCACTGTGTTTTCAGTTAGCCTACTTGACGCGGTGGGGGTCAGGCGTCCCGAATAGTATTAGCAGGGGGACTCCTGTAGAGGTACTTCCAGATAGCGTAGTAGTGCACGGCTGCAGCCAGCGCCACAAACACGTGCCAGATGGCATGGGCAAACGGGATGACCCCGTCCGACTTGAAGAAGAACACGCCCAGGCAATAGATGAGTCCCCCACAGGCCAACTCGTACAGTCCATCCGTGTTGTTCTGTGGAAAATTTGGGGAAAAATCTAATGTAAAGGACTATAATATTATTCTCCAAGGTTCAGCATATAGTACTGTAATACAAATACCAAAAACCTTTGGAGTCTGAGTGAACTACCACAAGAAGTCCACAAGGGGGCATAGGAGGCTGAACAACAGATATTCTGCTGATTATATTGTGCAGGGGTATTCAACTCTTTTACCCTACGAGGTCTGGAGCCTGCTGGTTTTCTGTCCTACCTAATAATTAAATAGCACACAGCTGGTGTCCCAGGTCTAAATCAGTCCCTGATTAGAGGGGAACAATGAAAAAATGCAGTGGGACTGGCTTCAAGGTCCAGAGTTGAGTTTGAGGGATATAGTGGTACACAAGTGAAGGATGGTGATGGAGGCTGTGATCACTACGCCTTGGTGATGGATGCTACTGATAATGTATAGTAAGTAACTAATACACACATTAACAAATTCATTAACTTGATGTTTTTAGCAAAAACACCTGATGACAGTAGGCTTTACAAAGGTGCAAAACAATAGAGCACCTTAAAGGGCAACTCCACCACTTTCCAACCTCATTTTCATTATCTCCAGTACAATTCCAGTGTCAACACAATGGCAAACAGCGCGTTTCTAATGTTTTGTAGAAAAAAATGAAGTTAAAAGTTCTACCCGATGACATCATCAAAAGTTCAAACCATTTTAAAAACAGTGATTTTCAAACACTATGAGATTGATGTTGATGTGGGGACCAAGAAAAGACCCTCCCTTGGGCAGAAACTCATTGCAGGTTTTGAAAATCACCGCTTTTATTTTTTTAATCCTACCCTGTGATGTCACAGAAAAGCATTTTCTTTAGGAGCTTTGTTCTTATCTTTCTAACCACAGATCATAGAAACACACTGTTTTCACATATGTAGACACTGGTTTGGTGGAATTGACAGATACCAGATATTCTAGGGCCATTTTAATTAAGCTATGTAAAATCGGTCATGTTTAATGCATCTGCCAGATACCTCGAGACAGAGTGTCAAAGCAAACAGTAAGCAGCAGATGCAAATGTAAGCAGCACTGCCACTAGCGCTGTGAGTGTGGGTGGTGACTGAGTAAGGAGATTACAGCAGAAAGTCAATATGTAAAACGGAGTACGTTACCATTGATGTCACAACCAACGCAGGGAAAAAACCCATAGTCAAATAGAAGGCGAGCTCAACAACTTTATACCTAGAACAAAGAAACACATAGAATATTCCATATTAAAACAGACCTACTTTATCACCAAAAAAAGTACAACATTGACAGCAACAAAAGTGATGATGCTTAGCAGATATAACAATGGCCCTGTTTGTCAGCTTCATTGTTATAGGATTCATTGAGGCCGTAGTCTGTACATATCCAATTACTCCACTGAAGATTTAGTTTAAAAAAATAATATTTACATTGCAAAAAAAGCATAATAATTAAATTGTAAAAAGGTTATTATACTCACTTTTCATGGTAGTTGAAGACATATATCGTTCCTGCAGCAGCCATTAGCCATACAAACCAACGCATGTGAACTGCGAGTGGGCCAAGCTCACGAAGATTCAACCTGGCAGGAGAGAAAGATTATGTTCATTCCACACTTTAGCCTAGGGAAACATACCAACTGCAGGATCCTCATCACATCACACTTGCGTAACCCCGATTCTATGAGAATACCAGTGACATGTGTCACTTATGGGATATGCCTAAGGGGCGGGTCACAGGCTCGAAGTATCCAATCACACAGTGTCTGTTGAAGACAGACTGGTCGAGTGGCGAATGAGATGAGCCCCTCTCCTCCATAAAGGGAGCCACTCGCCAGCCAACTGGTCATTTTCAAGCATGCCTCTTCCTTGCGCTCTTGCGAACAGGGAAAAGCGGTGACACATCTCACTCATATTATCATAGAACCGGGGTTACGCAAGTAACCCAAAGTTCTATTTCTAATACTCGTTTCGATGTGTCACTTATGGGATATGGCCAACTCCCATAACACAGACATGCTCTCTGAAGCCAGGGAGGTGCCCAAAAAACCCGCAGAGGTTGGTTGCTAGTGAGCTGGAGCCCCTCAACTCGTTTTGCAAACCATTAGGCAAGACGTAAGGGTGTTAGAAAGAGAAAGTAATAATACATTCCCGCTCAATAGTTCCCATAGCAAAGCCTCAATCCAATAGAGAGTCCCTATGAGGTGGTCTTTGCGTAGGATGGCCCTCAAAACAACATCACAGAGGGTGTTACCCTACTGTGTAACTGTCGAGGCCTGTGTGACAGGGCGAGATAGCAGTCAACTGGACCTTTGGAGATCTTCCCTCTGTCCAAAGTCCTGCAATGAAGCATACAGAGCATTTAAGGAATGATCTGTGTAGGTCACAACACTTCTCCAAAAAAACAGATTGTTTGTTTCTCCAAACAATGGGCGTGTATGAGGGGCACTGGCACTCTGGATCGTGAAAGATCTTGAGTGGCCGGTTTGTCGCATTCAGATTTATCCTCCCACGGGCTATGCTCAGAGGGTCACGGCTACTGGGTGAGGGTGCAAATCTTTCCGTATGTTAGGGTCCGTGGATCCCTGCATAACGGTGGTTACCAGGACTGGTTTTAGAGCAGGAGAGTGGTCTCCGCTAACCAGGACGTACCTGGTCATCGCGGAAGACGAAGATGTTACCTCGCTCTGCTTAGAGTCGGGGGTGTCAGGCCTAGGAGAGAGAAAAAGCATAGGGCATTACCCTTGAGAGGGTGTGCCGTTGCTTCCACCCCTAGTGGTGCGTAATCACCATGTAGGTGCGGGGTCTCCAAAGAACCATTATAGGGAAGACGCTTCTAACAGTCTGTCTTCTCGAGTCAGTCTGGATAGATACGGAGGGCGGGTTCTCAGGGACCGGTTTGAAGTGCCAGCACACGCGTGTCATGCTCACCCCAGGGTGTGATAACGCCACGGGGGGGCAGAGAGTGTCCCAGTTAACTCGTAATGATATCTCTTAATGAATGGGTCGAAGGCATATGAGCATAATGATTCTTGCAAAACATGCTTGATACTCTTGGACTGCGTCCCTAGCAGGTGGCAATAGGTATGGCTATACCGTGTCACCGAGCGGGGTTCTTTGCGCGAGAGAGCGGCCAACGGAATGACGAACGGCGTCAACCGGTGTAGCCAAAAGAAAGAAGGAAACCTGCTGGTTACCCAGATCCTAATCCTATGCAATAGATTAGCTACAGGTAACTGCCAAAATAAAGGAAACAATTGAGATTAATTAATATCCCATCATGCTCATGGTTATGTATAAAAAGCCCAGTTGCCCAGTGTCTTTGAAAGAGGGGTCTCAAAGGAGCATAGGGGGTTTAAAGGGTGTGTGTGTGTGTCACCAGATTTCCACCCAATATGGGAGATTCTGGAGCAGCGCCTGAGACAGCGTTTTCCACCACCTTCAACAAAACCTCTCGTGGAAGAATTGTGTCACATCCCTTCAATAGAGTTCCAGACACTTGCAGAAACTATGCCAAGGCACATTGAGGCTGTTAACACCCTATTAAGACACTTTGTGTTGTTTCCTTTATTTTGGCAGTTGCCTGTATGTCTGGTATGTTTTGGCCCTACCCCGGAAGGGAGGGTTAGCAAGAGCAAAGATCTCCTCAGCCACTCGTTCTGAAAGCGAAGGTGGAGCTGACTAAATCTCAGACTGCGCGAACCAAGCACAGGTAAGAACGGGATGAGGAAAAAACGCCAGAGCGTGGTGGACTTGGTGTACCAGATAGCTGTCTGGGGCTCCAGTGCCCAGCAAAGTTAACCATTCCCCCCCTCTTATTTTTCCTTGGAAAAGAAAGTACCAGTAATGGAATACTGTACAGACTGTCCTATAGCTCAATACAAATAGTTTTCTAGCAATAGAGCTAAGTTGCCATAAAATTGCCCAAAAAAAGACTCAGAGAAACCCAGTGGGTTATGGTGGTCCTTAAAGTGAACCCCGGAAACCTGATTTCCTATTTATCGCTATGAAAATGGAGAAAAGTGCAAGTTTCTCCTCTGCCTTGCTCACTTAGTGATGGCACCTCCTGGTGGTAGTACTGAGGAGGTGCCCACATGAGCCTGTTTTTACTGTGTTGCTCATGCAAAAGATAGTTAAAAGCAACAATGCCGTAAGGCAAGGAAAAATTAGGAAGCCATGGTAGAATAGCAAAAGGCAATCTGTCATCCAGCTCCGTATGTCAGAAGAGACCGGAAGGAGAACGAACATGCAGACTTTTTCATCCCTGGCTAAAACCTGAGAAGGTGCCAAGCGGAGAGTCCAAGTGGGATGGCACTCGGGGGGTAAGAGTGCACATCCTCCATCTTCCCAGGTGAGCAATGTCACAAAAGTGCGCAGCTGCAAAGGGAATAGTTTTTTTTGCGATTTTTTCACAGATGTGCCTCCCCACTCTCACACGGCTTACGTTAAACCCAAGAGAGGCCGTAGGCTTTGCACACTATCCTCCTCTGCCAGTTAGGGCTGTGCCCTAGATTAGGAGGGTGGAACCTTGCTGAGGCCGCAGAAAAGGATTGTTTGGCTTCAGGTTTGCCTTGGTTAAAGGGCTTAGCCTGGGTATTGGCAGTCTGCTGTGTCGCTGAGGGTTTAGGGCCCCTAAGGCCAGTTGTTGCCCCCTCCTTGCTGTGAGGCTAAGGCCACTTCTGCGACATGCGGCGGCGACAGCAGGCCGAACAACTCCTTGGGTGTCACAGGGGCATCCAGGAGGTCCACTTTTTCTTTGTCTGTCAAGCTGGATAAGCTTAGCCAAATAGCCCTTTCTCACACCACCACCAGACTCATGGTATGACCACAGCCTTAGATGGCATTATGGGAGGCACAGAGGTTTAGATATGTAATCATACAGATCTCATCCCAAGCAATCCAGTTGCTTCCCCACATCCTCCAGTAACTCTGCCTGGTAGGCCAACAATAAAGAGATCATGTTAAGGTCTCTGATTTAAAGGTTTGAGGCTTTGTATGTCTTATGGAAAATGGAGGCAATAAAGCGCTCTGTCTTTCCAGGGAGGGAAGTGCCAGTAGTGCTAGCAGCACAGTGTGTGGGGTGGAGGTGGTCAGCCACTGACGGTTCTACCATGGGAGGGTTGCGAAACCCAGATCCCTCCATATCGTGCATGTCCTTGCTAGGGAACCCCTAGCCAGGATGCTGCTGGTAAGGGGCTTATCCCATGAGCGCCTAGCCTCTCTGAGGCAGGCTGTGACCGTGGGAAGCAGTTGCTTAGCGGGGGCCATGCGGGATGGGAGTATTTTTCCATTGTGCAGGTCCCTTCCGGGGTCCTGGCCCCACATGGGAGCTGGCCACCCGATACAGAGTCTAGCCGCAGCTTGCTTGCAAATGTTGAGGAGGAGCCCGTACTCCAAAGGGAGATTAGTGGCTCCTCCATCTCAGGGGCGGGGGGACATCGGGACTTGAGAGGGGGGAAGAAGAGTGTCTTTGTCCTCCATCTCAGTCTCAAAGTCGAGGAGACCACAAGATTAATCCCGTCCTCGTCATGCTTCGCTAGGGTCGTCTTGGGATGGGGCAGCAGTGGCCATTGTGTAGTTCAGGGCTACGCTGAGATGCCTGTTGTAAAAACAATGTGTAAGCTCTGTGGCTTTAGTTAGACCTTGCACCTAATACTAGCTAAGGTCTGCACAGTGAGAATGCTACAGCCGTGAGGCTAGTGATGTGTTGGCTACCTAGCAGCCAACTTTGCTAAGGCATGCTGTAGCTAGCCCAGTGCTGGCCGGAGGGAACCACATGTCGGCAGTTCGGGTAGGTGTTCTCCCACGACCGTAGAGCCGTGAGGCTAACCAGTAGGTCTAGTTACCCCATAAGAGTCTAAGACCTGTTACTACTAAGCTATATGGAAATGTTTTAAGAAGGTCATACCAAGGATCCTTTTGCTATTTGATTTGGAATTTTAAGACCCCTTGAAGTATAAAAAAAAATATATATAAACAATTTTATAAATTATTTTAGGCCTTACTGCAATTGGCCCATACAAATGCATTGAATAACATACAGTGAGGGAAAAAAGTATTTGATCCCCTGCTGATTTTGTACGTTTGCCCACTGACAAAGACATGATCAGTCTATAATTTTAATGGTAGGTTTATTTGAACAATGAGAGACAGAATAACAACAAACATATCCAGAAAAACGCATGTCAAAAAATGTATTAATTGATTTGCATTTTAATGAAGGAAATAAGTATTTGACCCCTCTGCAAAACATGACTTAGTACTTGGTGGCAAAACCCTTGTTAGCAATCACAGAGGTCAGATGTTTCTTGTAGTTGGCCACCAGGTTTGCACACATCTCAGGAGGGATTTTGTCCCACTCCTCTTTGCAGATCTTCTCCAACTCATTAAGGTTTCGAGGCTGACGTTTGGCAACTCGAACCTTCAGCTCCCTCCACAGATTTTCTATGGGATTAAGGTCTGGAGACTGGCTAGGCCACTCCAGGACCTTAATGTGCTTCTTCTTGGGCCTCTCCTTTGTTGCCTTGGCCGTGTGTTTTGGGTCATTGTCATGCTGGAATACCCATCCACGACCCATTTTCAATGCCCTGGTTTAGGGAAGGAGGTTCTCACCCAAGATTTGACGGTACATGGCCCCGTCCATCGTCCCTTTGATGCGGAGAAGTTGTCCTGTCCCCTTAGCAGAAAAACATCCCCAAAGCATAATGTTTCCACCTCCATGTTTGACGATGGGGATGGTGTTCTTGGGGTCATAGGCAGCATTCCTCCTCCTCCAAACACGGCGAGTTGAGTTGATGCCAAAGAGTTCGATTTTGGTCTCATCTGACCGCCACACTTTCACCCAGTTCTCCTCTGAATCATTCAGATGTTCATTGGCAAACTTCGGACGGGCCTGTATATGTGCTTTCTTGAGCAGGGGGACCTTGTGGGCGCTGCAGGATTTCAGTCCTTCACGGCGTAGTGTGTTACCAATTGTTTTCTTGGTGACTATGGTCCCAGCTGCCTTGAGATCATTAACAAGATCTTCCCGTGTAGTTCTGGGCTGATTCCTCACCGTTCTCATGATCATTGCAACTCCACGAGGTGAGATCTTGCATGGAGCCCCAGGCCGAGGGAGACTGACACTACTATTGTGTTTCTTCCATTTGCGAATAATCGCACCAACTGTTGTCACCTTCTCACCAAGCTGCTTGGCGATGGTCTTGTAGCCCATTCCAGCCTTGTGTAGGTCTACAATCTTGTCCCTGACATCCTTGGAGAGCTCTTTGGTCTTGGCCATGGTGGAGAGTTTGGAATCTGATTGATTGATTGCTTCTGTGGACAGGTGTCTTTTATACAGGTAACAAACTGAGATTAGGAGCACTCCCTTTAAGAGTGTGCTCCTAATCTCAGCTCGTTACCTGTATAAAAGACACCTGGGAGCCAGAAATCTTTCTGATTGAGAGGGGGTCAAATACTTATTTCCCTAATTAAAATGTAAATCAATTCATAACATTTTTGACATGCGTTTTTCTGGATTTTGTTGTTGTTATTCTGTCTCTCACTGTTCAAATAAACCTACCATTAAAATTATAGACTGATAATTTCTTTGTCAGTGGGCAAACGTACAAAATCAGCAGGGGATCAAATACTTTTTTCCCTCACTGTATTCACTACATGGTACAACAGATAGTCACCCCCCAAAAAATCTAAAAGGAAGTTTGTTCTGAAGTGTCTATCCTATATCTGAGAGATATAAGAAATATGTATTTAACCCCTTATTTTGGGCGCTAAACAGCCTCCATATATACACTACATGACCAAAAGTATGTGGACACCTGCTCGTTGAACATCTCATTCCAAAATCATGGGCATTAATATGGAGTTGGTCTCCCCTTTGCTGCTATAACAGCCTCCACTCTTCTGGGAAGGCTTTCCACTAGATGTTGGAACATTGCTATGAGGACTTGCTTCCATTCAGCCACTAGAGCATTAGTGATGTTGGGCGATTAGGCCTGGCTCGCAGTCGCCATTCCAATTCATCCCAAAGATTTGATGGGGTTGAGGTCAGGAATCAAGTTCTTTCACACCGATCTCAACAAACCGTTTCTGTATGGACGTCACTTTGTGCATGGGGGCATTGTCATGCTGAAACAGGAAAGGGCCTTCCCCAAACTGATGCCACAAAGTTGGAAGCACAGAATCGTCTAGAATGTCATTGTATACTGTAGCGTTAAGATTTCCCTTCACTGGAACGAAGGGGCCTAGCCCGAACCATGAAAAACAGCCCCAGACCATAATTCCTCCTCCACCAAACTTTACAGTTGGCACTATAAATTCAGGCAGATAGCATTCTCCTGGCATCCACCAAACCCAGATTTGTCCGTCGTACTGCCAGATGGTGAAGCGTGATTCATTACTCCAGAGAACACGTTTTCCACTGCTCCAGAGTCCAATGGCGGCGAGCTTTACACCACTCCAGCCGACGATTCGCATTGCGTATGGTGATCTTAGGCTTGTATGCGGCTGCTCGGCCATGGAAACCCATTTCATGAAGCTCCTGACGAACAGTTCTTGTGCTGACGTTGCTTCCAGAGGCAGTTTGGATTTTGGTAGTGAGTGCTGCAACTGAGGACAGACGATTTATACGCGCTACGCTCTTCAGCACTCGGCGGCCTACAACTTCGCGGCTGAGTTTTTCCTAGACGTTTCCACTTCACAATAACAGCACTTTCAGTTGACCGGGGCAGCTCTACCAGGACAGAAATTTGATAAACTGACTTGTTGGAAAGGTGGCATCCTATGATGGTGCCACGTTGAAAGTCACTGAACTCTTCAGTAAGGCCATTCTGCCATTTTTTGTCTATGGGGATTGCATGGGTGTGTGCTCGATTTTATACACCTGTCAGCAGCGGGTGTGGCTTGAATTGCCGAATCCTCTAATTTGAAGGGGTGTCTACGTACTTTTGTATATATAGTGTACTTCCATAAAAATTGTCGACTGCTACCGGGGGACCTTCAGACGATTCTTGTGAGGCCTGTGGGCGTCCTAGAGCAAAACAACTGACATGTACGTTAGATTAGTGTGTAGCCCAAACTGTTCGGACGCTACAGACGATTTTGCGAGAAGACCGATTTTCGGGATGTCTCATGGTATGACAAACACTGCTCTAGCTCTGTCACCGCCGATGCGGAAGTGTTACATAGGTGGATGCGGTGGATTGAGACGCATCCAATGCAAAAAAACATATCTCTGGCTTAAACCTGACAGATCTTTATGGTTTTTTTAATTATTATTATGCTAATTATATTTCAGCGGGGGCGCAAACATCAACCTTAGGGGGTTAATAAAAACGTGTAAACGTAGATTTTAATCAGACGAGAGAAGAAGAGAGCTAGCAATAGTAGTGTTGCTGGTAGTAAGGCTGGTGCGGTTAGCTTGCTTTGCAGCTAGTTAGCCAGGTTAGCTTAAGCATTGCTGCGGGAGCTAGACATTTGTTAGTGTGGTTAGTTAAAGCCTTACAGCGTGTGCTAACCTAGTTAGCCGAAGCGAGGGCTAACCGAGTCTCGGTAGCTAGCCGTGTGGCACTACCTGAAAACCGGAGGCTGAACGAGTAGAAAGTGAATTCTACTCGAAGCAAAACTTTCCTTTCGGTCAGTACTCAACACTATCGACAAGAGCTGAGGCCCTAAGTTCGGCAGCATTAACCTTACAGTTCGCCTGAAAACAGTTCACTAGGAAGACAGGAATGTAGTTGTGCTAAGGAGAGCTTTTAGTGAACGCGGTCATGACCAGTTGGCGGGCGAGTGGCTACCTTTATGGAGGAGAGGGGCTCACCTCATTCGCCACTCGACCGGACTGTCTCCAACAGACGCTGTGTGATTGGATACTTCGAGCTTGTGATCCGCCCCTTAGGCGTATCCCATAAGTTACATATCGAAATTGGTATTAGAAATAGAACTTACCACGGTGTGTAGGAGGCTGCGATGAAGAAATAGATGACCACTCTATCACACATATGAAAGCAGTGCTCCACAGACCTAGAATCAAGACCAATAATTCAGTATTTCTCTCTTTGGCCTTTGATTGTGTCTGCCCACTCATACCTAGTATCCAATTAAAATGACTATCTGCTGGGTGCTGTATACTATAACTCAGGTAGTCAGACCTGTTACTGTAGTCGGACCTGCTACTTCAAATTACACTCACTGGAGTATCTGACATAGGCTTTGAAAAAGCACCCACGAATAGGTTACCATTGCAACAAGTGCTGCTGGTAAGCTCTTGACTTGGACATTCATTTTTGCCAACACATGGTTAACCTTTGTTTAACCAGCTAAACAGCTGCTCTTAGCAAAAATGTGTTTGGAGTTACCTTTCTAACTAATAGGCTATGAGTTTACACTTCCTCTTTCAATTATAATGTGGGGAGGTCAAAATAATCAAAAATCGATTCATTTTAAAATGTTGATTCCTTCTCCTTTCCATTATCATTCACCTGATGATAAGACAAGACATGTAAAAAAATATATTTGCTAACGTATGATGGGGTCCCTGGGTCACCGTTTTGCCTGGGAGGTGGTCCCTTGGCAAGAAAAGGTTGAAGACCCCTGGTCTAGTGTGATAGAACGTTCCTCTGCCTCCTCACCTCATGTGGCTCTTCTTCCAGGTGATGATGTGGAACACAGTGGAGACCAGGAAGAGGGCACACAGGCCCATACCGTACACCCAGGCTGTGATCTTCTCCCAGCGGTCGTCTGAGAGCCGGTGCAGCAGGGCCATGCCCACAACGGCTGGTACGATGAGGAGCTGCAGGGTACAGACAAAGGGAGACGGATTAACATTACCAACTGTTGAAAACTATCCTTGTAACATACACCCAGTGTAGTCTACAATTATAGTGTTTTTGGTCAAATGTGTTTTCTCCATAACCCTATCAACACCAGGTAGAATTCTGTCAATAGAATTAAGCATGGGAAAAACAACAATTGAGGTCTGACATTTGAAAACCAGTTTTTGTACAGTAGGCCTACACTTAGGGAACGTGAACTCACCGCGTGAGTATAGCAGTTTGCAGCATGCTCATAGCAGGTGGGCTGGTAGCGGCAGTTAGCAGAGGCCCGCCTGTTCATGAACCTGAAACATACAGCAACATGCAGCAAGTGTTACTGGGGCAGATAGCGGGGAGGACTAAGGGCTGTTCCAATACTGGTGTTAGAGGTCATCCTGATTGAGTGCTGTTCCAACACTGTTTCTGGGTTGTTCATGCAACAGTGTACCATGCCAATTGACGAAAGCAGGAAAATAACACACGAGAAGACCAAAGACTGACAAAGTACATCTCAAAGAAAAATAGCATATAACTAACACAAGTAGGCCTACAGGCACACTCACATTTTAGTGATTGACCAAAATCCATGTAAAAGGACCCATGAGCACCAACCTGAAGTTTATAAGAGCATATCAAATGAAAGCTAAGAGTCTGTATTTTTTTTAAATTAAGGCATAGATACATTTTTCAACAATTTTACATCCTAAACATTTGGAATAAGCAAAGGCTTTGATTTCTGGTCACACAGATGGAAGTAGAGTAGAGTTCAGTACAGTAGAGCACATGAGTAGAGTACAGTATAATATACTCTACTGGACTGAACTATACTGTGCTGTACTATATACTCTACTGTGCTCTCCTGTGATGTCCAAACTTGTGAAACATAGACGTCTATGATTGGTAGAGATTTGGTCCGATTTGGACCAACCAAATTTGGTCATGTATGGAGGCGGAGCTCATTAGAATAATAGCCAGTGTGTAGAATAATACTCAAACATGCAAAGGAGGATATTACATTTTTATACCTTTGTGTACCTATTCAGGATACATCACCATGAAGAGAATGAAATTCATAATTATACATTTCTGCATAGTACAGATCAATGACCCATGATGTCAATCTGTTACAGTCATTCTGTTACCGGGTGTTGATCCACTTCACTTAGTGAAGTTCAATAACCAAAATAGATTTGTTCAAACTCAAGGTGTCATATCATAGCTGACACCCCATTCTTTCTACAGATATCTTTGAATCTTAATTCGAAGTACTTATTTATGTTTTTTTTTGACGTGGTCACATAAAAAACTGAGGGAGATTTTACTGTCATTCTGTTACCAAACTTTGCATCTGCACTGTTCCTCAAATAAGTGTTTTTGTAAAATTTTCTGTGGCAATTGTTAAAAGTATAGTTTTGCATATAGGTGTATGTTTTTATAAACTTTGCAATCAATAGTTTTTGTTTGGCATACATTTTAAAGTGAAAAAGTGAGTCTCAGCGTCGCTCTGATAACATGGAATTGCCCTTCATCAATGACTTATACCCATTATTTACAATGCCATGATTGGACAATTATGGCGACTTGTTTTACCGGATTCCATCTACCTGTGCTACATCCAAAGACTGGCTACATTGCGTTTCCTGGTGGGAAACGTTGTAGCTAGTAGGCTATAGTACTGCATGCTACAATAGCCAATGTTCTGCTTCATTCATGGCTACAAAGTAACAATCCATCTAAGAAGAAGACTCAGTAAATGCCAATAGCTAGGTTCACTTACGTTAACAAGACCACTTGCCTGAACAAATGAACGCCAGCTAGCTATCTATCTATCTATCTATAGCTAAATTCAACATAATGCAAACATTGGATGACTGCCACATTTTTAGCTAACCCACCTTTGAAGGCTGTTCACTCTCATCATTTCAATGCCTTCACGCAAAACGAAGGGAGGAAATCACGAAGCAAGCTTTAGCTAGCGAACTACAGTCAAAAATAGGAAATCAGCAAGCTAGCCAAATAGGAAATTAGAAAGCTAGCCAAAACAAGAGAAAGTGAAGGCCCAGCTAACGTCATCAACTAATCAATCCTCTGTACACATGTCGATATACCCCCAGTCCAAATCAATACATCAAGACACTATTTTAGTATTTTCCTTAATACCATTTATGCTGCAAATATTAACGAGCGTCAATCGATTAAATTAATACTATCAATTAGAAAATACATATCCTCCTGACACTTGTGTCCCCCTGTAGACACCGGCGTTGTTCCCTATTTAACGATTGAAATGTGTTTCGTTCATGCAAAGATCTTTTGAATGACGAATGCTTGAACCAATAATAGCACTAAAAGTGTGGGACGTCATCCTATCAGACCAATCAAAGATCTGATGACAGTGTAGGTGGCTGGAGGAGGTCTCAAAATCTCACACCATGATAGACATATGTAACAGTAGTAGTTATTTTTGTTTTTCAACCAGCAACCCTGAGAATGGGTTTCCACTAGTTACCACAACCACAAAGTCAAAATGCTTTATCGTAAAAATTCATGAGAACAAAAAGTAGCTTTTTGGTCTTAAATTACGGTTAGGTTTAGGCATAAGGTTAGCAGTGAGGTTAAGGTTAGTGTTAATGTTAGGGTTAGGTTTGAAATCAGATTTTAATTTCAAGAATATAAATTGTATAAATGGTGAGGACCACCTGAACATGCATCAACAGACACAATATTTGTATATTTTGAGTCCAATATCACGTTCCTGTGTCATGATTGAATCATTTAATTTTCCCAAATTTAGCCTTCTAGTATTGACTTTTTATCTCAGTGTCAATAAACTTGAGCAAATAAACTGATATTACATCATAGGCCCTGTTTCAACAGATGTTTATTTGCATGCACAGAGATTAATTCACAATGTTATCAGATGCAAATATGTCCCTATGGGTAATTGTGTTGTGCTGTATGTGGACAGGACACAAAACAATGTGTTGCTAGTCTATGTTGAATTGCACATCAGCAAGGTATCTGATGAGCACTCTCTAACCAGTATTGTAACTCAGCAAGGTATCCAGTGTTGGGGACTAGTGAACTACATTTAGTTCAACTAGTAATTCAATTACATTTTGCAGTAGCTTGGTGGTAGTTGAACTAAATTCACATCTTGGTAGTGTTTTCAGTAGTTAATTACTTTTTTTTGCCATGTAGTGGTGTAGCTAACTAATTGAACTACACACTACTTTTTTTTGCTAAAATCAAAATATGGGTGAAGTAGGCAAGTATTTACTTTCTTTTTCTGCATCAGACCTGCTTAATTCTCACTTGAAACACTTTTTGTGTGCCTAATTCTCACTTTTTTTGTGTTTAATAGGCTAAATTACACATTCTGTTAACATCTGACTCCAGAGTGAACTGTTCTTGCAATTTGTAGTCTGTGACATTTCAGATTTACATATGATAATTTTTCACAAAGTAGTTTGGATGTAGTGAACTACTTTTTCTAGGTAACTTTAGTTAAGTAAACTATGTTTTTCTAAAGGGTACCTTTAGTGTACCTTAACTTCTTCCAGTGTGAAGTAATTGGTAGCTTGGGTAACATATTTTTCAGAGTAGCTTCCCCAACACTGAAGGTATCTGATGAGCACTCTAACCAGCTGAGTTACATAACAGTGTCAGTATTGTAACTCAGCAAGGTATCTGATGAGCACTCTCTAACCCACAGAGTTACATAACAGAGTCAATAATGTAACTGGATCATTCAGGAACAGCATTAGATAACACAACTCATAGCTGTTTACATAAGACTTTAAGTGCGATATGCAGGCTCAATGAGTTTTAAACTGACAAATATCTGCAGTTTTTTTTAATCTTTGGGCTATTACAACCAGAGTGAAACATAAGCCCATACTGACCCAACTTCACAGCAGTGGCATTGCACAAACCCTTCAGAACCATTAATAACCAGCACATTTATGCATGTGAAGACAACGTTCCCAAATGTATCCAATTTTAAATGTTTGCATTAGTAAACTCAGAATAAGATGCATAATCAACTCCTTAGAGAAAGATTTCACATGTCATATTTGGACAGACGGGTAAGCCTCTGAGTATGAATTCATCTCTCTGGTTTTATATGTTGTGATGCCAAAGGATTACAAAAGTAAGCCTAATGTGTATTGTACGTAGTTCATGAAAGTAAAATCCACTTCTTGCACAAGATCCTATCCCTAGGGTACACCATGCACCGAACAGTTCAAATGTGGTTTATCTAGCCCAGGAGGAGCTCATTGTTTACGAGCTGTGGAAGTACAGCTGAGATGGTGGGAGGCAGGCAGGCAGAGTTTTTAAGAATGACATTAGCAGAGACAACAGGAGGATGCGAGCAGCCATATGTTAGGGTTTAGCGTTTCCTTGTTCTTGCTGCAAGGCTGCAGTTCCCCATGGTGCCATGCTAACACCCCTAATGCGATACAGGACTGAGACATGGAGGTTGGCATTCTGTAGCTCAGTTGGTAGAGCATGGCGCTTGCAACGCCAGGGTTGTGGGTTCGTTTCTCACGGGGGGCCAGTATGAAAAATGTATGCACTCACTAAGTCGCTCTGGATAAGAGCGTCTGCTAAATGACTAAAATATAAATGTAAATACAAACACAGGGTTTAGCAGCTCAGTATAGTGTCCCTGGGTTTATAAATATGCTATAAAACAGTGTTTAGCTCATTCTATTTCTGACACTGTTACATGTTTGAGGCACATGCAGAGTTCATCGGTTACACCACTCTGCTCACAGTCAACAACCTGAAGACCCATTTCACTTCCTCCACTAGCCACGACAACAGTGCAAGTGAAAGAGCTCATGTTACAGGGGAAGTGAGGTTAAAGGTCCCTCGGGTCAGGTATTATGTTAAGCATCTGACAAGATTTACCCTCTGTGTCACACTATGGCTACACATACTGTAGAGTATGTGTGTGACCTATTTTCATTGATTGCTTTTAAACACTCAAAGCTTGCCCAACGAAGTCCTCTGCCAGGACGTAAAAGCTCTCTACGCCATGTAGAATAACAGTACTAAATAATGCTCCATACTGTCCAATGGCAATGTACTGTAGTGTACATGCACACCGCAGGCCATGCTGTTAATATGACATCTTTAGTGGCTACTGTAAGACAGACACTGGTGGGACTACCCACAGGATAACAGAGGCTTTGTGAAGACACGTGATGCCAGGGTTAAACAGCTCTGTAATTGGTTTACTGTTTCATGCTGAAATGCAGTACCTTTAAAAAGGGAAGACATGGGAATCCCAATACTATGGATTACAACAGGCCGGAAACACCTCTAGGAAAAGCCACGGTATATCCACATCCGCACACTTAGAATAACAAAGATGACAAAAAATGTAAAGGTGTGATATTCAGATGCTTAATGAAACAATATTGTCAATGTGAAAAGGCAAAACATCTAAATACATAGCTGTGCCCTTTGAGGTTTTAGTAAAGAGATTAAACAACTAAATGAACACATTTTACAATTCATGGCATGGTGGATATATTAGTGTATATGATAGCCATGCTATCAATGCCCATTTCAATCATCAAATCAAACTTCTGTAAAGTAAGATAGAGCCTGTGTTGTGTCCCAGCCTCAACAGAGTTAATAAATGATCTAGTAGCTAACAAGCTGAGTATGGCGTGTTCTTAACCGGTGCAAAGCACATTGCCCCCTGTAGCAAAGGATTACTGGTGTAGTCTCTGCATAGAGGCATGAGAGCCGGCCTGCACCCAGCTAATACATTGGTGCAACATTGCTCTTCACTGTTGAAAAACTATTACAAGCATTTTCAGATATTTGTAACATTTGGATTTATGTTCACATTAAACATGTTGCCTTTTCTAAAAGTTACAATTATTTGTTCCCATACAGTAGATTCTTAGATGGGATTCTGTGGTATTCTATCTCAGTGGTAATCATTCATCTTAATACTCAGCTGAACATGATCCTTTCAGATTGCTAGAGTGTATCTCATCACTTGGAATCTCTTGATTCCAGCTTTTGAGAAATACATTTTCTCAAGTAAAATACTTCAAGAAATGTAAGTGTCTTTCTCTGTCAATAACTGATACGGAGATGGTGTGATTCCCTAGGTGTTGATGTTGTTGTACTGTAATGTTCTATTGGTACTGTAGGTGTTGATGTTGTACTGTAATATTCTGTTGGTACTGTAGGTGTTGATGTTGTACTGTAATATTATGTTGGTACTGTAGGTGTTGTTGTTGTACTGTAATCAAGCTATTGGAGCTGCTTTGCCAGCTTTGTCAGCTCAGGGCAAGGTGCATACATGTAGCATTTCTAAGTACAAGGACTAAAACAGCTTAATTTGTTTATGCTCCAAGTAAGATGGCATGGGCAAAGCTATTTCGGTGTGTACAGGTGCTAGTTTTGGCAGTGACTACTACGGGTTTCCGTCACACCTTCGAGTGAATGTATGATTACAGGCGTTTAATTATATTACATGCAATGGCTTAATTCAGTTTATAGCCTCAGCTTGCACTCTCTTTTAGAGTTCCTAATTCAAGCAGATTGACTGAATAATTGGATAAGTGTTAATTACAACCTCTGTCTCACAATATACTGTTGTCGTTCAATGGAGTCTGTGATGGCCTAGTGAATTGTGGGAGGAGAATGTATGGCCACGACAATCCAAACCTACCAGTCCTCATGAGGCCTGCATTGTGGATGCATTCTCCCCTTTCAGCATTAGGACAACAAAACAAAAGACAGACCACCTCTAGCATCTCATATACCTATAACACAGACGCCAAATGGAAACACTGCCAGTCAGAATAAAAGAGGAAAAACATTGGAATCACACAACCTCAGTCAAAGAATCTGTGCATAAATTGGGCTATCTAGTAAATCATATACAGTACATTTTTTTATTTTAGCAGACGCTCTTATCCAGAGCGACTTACAGTTAGTGAGTGCATACTTTTTTCATACTGGCCCCCCGGGGGAAACGAACCAACAACCCTGGCGTTGCAAGCGCCATGCTCTACCAACTGAGCTACAGGAGGCCCTGTACTCACTCATACAGAATGAAAAGGAATAGCCTTTAGAATATTTGATTTGACAATTTAAAATCCATATAATGTTACACCAAGCAACAGATACAGTTGAAGTCGGAAGTTTACATACACCAGCCAAATACATTTAAACTCAGTTTTTCACAATTCCTGACATTTAATCCTAGTAAAGATTCCCTGTCTGAGGTCAGTTAGGATCACCACTTTCAAGTTATGTAATTGGCTAATGGCTACCTTAGTTTCCCTATAAACAAGGCGCTACACCTACCAGGAAATGTTGGGCAATCTCCTAATCTGAAAATGCCAGGGCACACTTTGTAATGCACTCCTCCTGAGTCCTGATTGAGATAGGGCAACAAGTCTGTCGTTGATGAAAACATTCCACTGGCAGAGCATCATACAAATTTCTATCAAGTAACATTTGACAAAATAGTGAAGCAAGATGACAACGAACGCTCACTGAGAGGGGACAGACCTGTCTCTCTTTAAAATGAGAAATTATCTGGTAATACTTTGTAACAAATTTAAACACTGAGGCATTTTGTGATGTAAATTATAGTTGAGCTACATGCAAAGATAAGGTTTGAAAACTGCAACCATTTTTCAGTCAATTGCATTTCCCTCTCATGTCTTGTAACACAAACCACTGTTAATAGGACAGCTCAAGGAATTCCATGTTGATTATCAGTTGTGTCATTTCTTCTTTTAGAATATGCTGTAGGCTTCTGTGATCCACCAGAGCTTTCTAAAAGAGGGATTTCATGTGCATCAACACTGCACACACACGCCACTCTCTTACCGTCTCAGACTGGTCTTCTGCAGGTCCAATCCTAGCATTGTTCTGGCTTCCAGGGAAGAATACAGTCTAAAAAACAAATGTATAAACAGATTTTAAAAAAACATATATGTACAAAAGTTTATCCCGCTGCGATAATTCCAACGGGTGGTGGACTGAGTTATTCAGCACCACAGTAGTCCTTCTAGACCATGGTGCTCTTCTTCTCCCTGAAGTCTGGACTGGGCTGAGGCTCGTATGAGGTGACCATATTAGTCTGGTCCCAGCGTTGATGTTGTGGAGAAGGGGTGGTCTGCTGCATCACCACCAGTCTGATGGGGGATTGGGTAGGCACAGGATCCGGCGCATACTCCTTGGTTGGATCCTTGCCCCGGCAGTCATACATTATACAAGATATCAGGAACACCAGAAGCAAGATAACATAGCTGGCGATTAGGATGCAGAGGTTCAAAGTGACAGGATCAATCTCCGAGAAGTTTTCCTTAAAGCCCATGGTAGTTGCCTCATGCTGTGCGGCCCAAAGGCCCAGAAGAAACAGGTGGTGGACGGGAGAATGGAAGACGGTCGCCTTCAGTGGAGCTGGAATCACTAAACTAGCCAGTGACAGCAGGGCTTTCTCTCTATCCTCGTCAATCTATCCTTGTCAATCTCCTCTCTCTCTCTCTCTCTCTCTCTCTCTCTCTCTCTCAGATCACAGTGGATATGTGGCTTTGTGGTAAAAATACTTTAATCCATGCCATTCCGCCAACCTTGAATTTCTGTGATCAATGATTAAAGCTGCTCTGTTTAATAACTTAAGCCTCAGTTGTAATTTCAACAACTGAATCCGGTATAGAATTCTGCCCATTTAAAAAGGCCATTTTTAAAAGCCTGTGTTATATCACCAGAATCTGTTTATCAAGGGCATATTAATTTAGGAAACAGCACAGATTTAGAGAATTAACAGAAAAAGCAGGGTGGGGACGGACAGTCTGTCGTTAGTATGAACATGTGTATGACGCATTTATGAGTACTGTGTTCTGTGTGTCAGTCTGTCTATCTGTGTGTGTGTGTGTGTGTGTGTGTGTGTGTGTGTGTGTGTGTGTGTGTGTGTGTGTGTGTGTGTGTGTGTGTGTGTGTAATAGTGTAATCTTAATCTTGATTGTGAGTGGGGATTGAGAGAGAGAGAGCCATCTGGCTAAATAGAGACCAGAGATAGCAACTAAAAAAGCTACTCAGATGTGAAAGAGGGGTCTTTGACTTTCATATTTTCAATGTTAAATATCAGTGCAGGCATATTTATTGTGGTATATATATGTGTGATCATGACTTTTCTGTTCACTGTGTGTAGCAGAGGATTGACACAGTCGTTGTAAACTGCCGCTGCAGAGATATCAGAGGGCGGGTTAACGGAATTGAAAGTGTTCCTATGAGGTCAATAATCTGTGCTGACACGTCAATTAAGGCAGTGCCATTTTTCATTTTAAAATACACATGCTCTGTGGAAGAGAACTTCCACCACAAGGACATTGCTTTACCATATTTATTGACTGATATCCTTTTACTGAGTGAAGATAATTTTGTTCCTGTGGCATTATTTTCATCCTTTTGCTTTCAAGCGAGAGGGTAAGATGAGCAGCAGAGGGCAGTCATCGTCGTCAACATGAGCTGTGCAGTAGGAACAGCACCATCTATAGGATGATAATCTGAATTTTGACCCAGACTGCCATCACACAAACACACACACACACACACACACACACACACACTCCTGTGTATGTCATGTATGGGGACAGGCAAACTGTAATGTTCTACTTGATGTTGTTGGTAATCAATATTTTTTAAATTAGGCACTTCAATACAAAGGGATGCGATTTGCATTTTTACGAGCTCATACATGAGTTTTAGATTGTATTCTTGAATGAAGATCAAACCAGATAGATCCAAAGCTTACATGTGAATGACAGCTCTGTTTTTAGAGTCCATGTTCCTCCGGATCTTTGAAAGCATCCTCAAGTAGCCAACTCAAGTGGCCATTCATCAGGATGAGTGTCTACAATGGACAAGCCCCAAACAGATGACATAGGTTATTAGAACAAAGGACAGAGCACGAGCCAGCAGCATTAACAATCCTCACTGAGACAGTTTCATTCTGTCTGTACATCAAAACAATTACCGGGTAATAATCTATTGTAAAGCCAGTTAATCAAAAGATGATGCAAATACATTCATAGAAATAGATACATAAACAAGATTATGCTTTACTTTTCTACAACAAACTGTTTTAATTCGAAATTTCTTTGAAAAATAGGTTTTATGTTTCCAAGTAACATCAGAGGCTTAGTTAGGATTCACTGTTACTTCATAGCAGAACTGGATGTTCAGGCCTTTAATACATTTTTAATGTTCACGTGTCCAATGTCAAAGGTTACAAGGATTTTTCATAGCCACACGAAAATGTAATGCTCTAACTGTCCATTTGGACAGTGATTTAAAACCAGAGGGTTATTTTGGCCTCTGAAGGACAATCAATACAATATTTCATGAAATCTTATGAAGAAGACCAATGCCTTCTCTGTCTTTGAGTAATAAGTCCTCATTGAGCAACCATGTCCTCTGACAGTCCTCTTTACGTCAGTCAGATCGTCATCACTCGTTAATCTGGTAAAATTCCCAAAATGAGCATCTGGAAAATGCTACGCCCTTGTGTGGAGGCCTCAGCATTAACAGAGTCAGCCTGTCTGTTTGTGTATTGATATACAGAACATTTTAAACCTGCATTTTTGGCAAATGGCAAATGTTACATTTTGGCAATGAGATGACATTGTGGGTATGGATTAATATTGGTAAGGTCAATTGCAGCATCAGTAAGATTACTTTGTGCGTTGCAATCCAAATAGCTTAATGTTCAAGATTACTAAACTAAAAATAACACATTGACATTGGGTTGAAGGAAAAGCTGAGGGATGTTTTTGTTGTTGAGTTCTTTGGAAGTGATTACAGGAGAGGATATGTCAGGTTTGTCTTTCTGTCCCATGCCCATGGGTGGGGTCTCTCTCCTGTTTATATCTGGGCCGGCGATCTTTCCCAGCGCCAGACCTGGTGCCAGGGTGTCCGGCCGTCTCCACGGGACTGGAAGCAGACATGAGAGAGAGATGGATGCCCTGAGAGAGCCGGGGAGAAAGGATATGTGGAGAAACCTGCCGGAGGGATTTGGGCTGCCCATCTGTTGTCTCTATCTGGATGGAGCCTGTCTGTGTGTGGATGTCTGAGGATGCTAGGGGAGTTTGTCTTTGCTTTGACTTTTCCGCTAACAAAAGCCTTGCTTTCTGCTAGCGCACAAAGACTTGCTTCATGTTTGTTTATTTTCCCAGCATGCCACTAATCCTTGGTGGTGTCCCTCCCTCCATCAGACATATCCTGACCCCCCACCCTCACCACAGGTCCACAACAAATGAGTTACAAGGCATACATATTCAAAAGGTCCCTCCCTCTCTGCAATCCAACACAATGTGATAAATTGGCACTACAGGGCCCCAAGAGCCTTTCTCTGGCTATACTAGCTTCACGTTCAAATACTGAGCAGCATAGACCTTTGTCTTGACATGTATGTATTCAAGCACCCTTGTCTTTGTTGCTATGGTGTCTCTGTGGGCAACCATGAGGGTGCCCCAAATGTAGAAAATATGCTACAACTTAACTGACATATAAGCATTAATCAAGCATGTTTACATTTGAGGTTTAAATGCTCTGTTTTACAGATCTGGAAATTACGAAATTCAAAAGGCGGCCCTGGAGTACACTGTGTTCTTTCTACTACTAACGAATGTAAGATATATTTTATAAATGTTTGGAGAGTTTAGCCATGCCAGTAAAAAAGATTGCAGAGTTTCAGGGCCAGGCTTTTTTAAAATCATTTTTGAATCCGGAGTGCTAATTTTGAAATGCGTTAGAGTATCAATTTCTCACAACAACCCATAAAATCGAGACCTCCTCGATGTGGCAAAGATTTCCCGATGACTTTAGTGGGGTATCATCTACTCCCAGTCCGTATCCTACATGGGATTACTGGGATTCGTTTCTATCTAAAGAATGGAGGAGTCAACCAATAATTATTTTTTTTTGCTGAAAGGTTTAACTAAACTGAAGTTTCAAAGTATCAAAGTTTCCTTCCCCCATTAAATATACCATTCCACATCCGGTTCCTTTTCATAAGGGTTTAGTAAGTTTAGAAAAAATATTAAAGTTGACACAGCCCCGTTTACTGGACATAAGGGAACTATTACTCACTCGGAGCTGCCCAAGCGCCACAGACAGTCATGAGGCTCTTAAGCCAGCAGATGTTGTGAACGTGAGCCTGTTCTTTGTGTCTTCAGTCTCCATGAGTTACTCCAGAGATGTTCCATGAGGTAAGCAAAGAGGCAGGGTTATGCAATCAAAAGACAGCTGAGGGAAGCTCCTGTTCGGCCTCAATGTGTACAAATACCACAGGAGAGACATACTGGTCCATGGTACAGAGAGTAGAGGGGATCTAGACTGAGGAACCAGGGGGTTAAGGATTTGTTTCGTGTTGTGTTAATTTCCTTCAGAATTGTTTTTATGAATAGTATAACTTGTTTGATCAGGAAATTAGACCTGAACAGGAAGGAATCAATGTGTGGTGTGGCAAACCAAGCTTACCCACACTTACCCTACAGATTTGTTCATTCTTTAGTAATTGTTACCACATTGCTGTATCCTGTAGGCCAGACCTTTCTGAACATGTTCGAGGGGGTGTAGTCCTACTGTGCACAGGTCATCACATATTGCACTGCCGGTCTAGCCCTGTCTGATAGTGTTGCCATTAGCCTGCATTCTTGACATTGGTCCCAAAACTCACAGACTAGTTCCACTTTACCTCTGTATGCACTGTGTCCCCAGACCCAAATCGTAGAGTGACCTAGCAGCTAGCCTGATATATTAGTAGTGCATTATGATAAGACTGATAATTTCAGAGTAAAAAGACCATTAAACTGGACCAGGGTGGAGCTGTACCTCTCGGGGGGACAGCAGCTGGCGGACAACGGTCGGACTGAGCCTCTCGCAGATCTGATAAAGGCCTAAAGGGAGCCCTTTCCTTCCTGAATGGTGGACTGTTTGTGTTAGCCTGTCCTCCGTCTCTTCTTCTGGGTGTGGGAACCTGCTCCTCCCAGAGCTCATGGCTTCCTCTAGTCAAGGACCCCACAAAGCACGACCAGTCTGTATACCATGTGACTTACATTTAAGGCCCAGTCTGGGAGAGGAGTGCTTTTACAGTGGTGTTAAACCCCACAGAAACTATGTGACATAAAAGACCCTTATGGAAACACCACATGAATTTCACGTGATCACATGTGAAGTGTTTACGTGATCTTATGTGAAATTAATGTGATAACATATGACAACATGTAAAGCAACATGTGATAACATGAAACTACACATGTGAAAACATGTGATCACATGTGAAGTGTTCCAAAAACACGTTGTCACATGACTTCACATGTGGAATTTCAAGTGAAATCATGTGTTTTTCAGTAAGGGGACCGACAGGACCTTTAGTATCTCTCTTTATGTCAAATTACAAGCATTGAAATGGTCTTTAGACAGCACTAAAGTACATATGTAGGATCTTAATTTGATCACTCTTTTGTTGCTGAGGATTTTTCTGCACA